CGCATTAGTAGCCACATGGCTTTGCAGTGCTTGTGGCTGAAAAGTACGCTTTCCAAAGCCTCACGAAAATGTAGACATGTTGAAGCTGGTCAATGCTCAAGTTCTTCAACTTTGTGGGATTTCTAGAGACATTGGACATGGGCTTAGCAATGGGAAATCGACAAGGGAAAAGCGTGAAAATACCGTGAAATTGGCGTGAACGCCCTTTTTTTGCAGTGAAAGACCGTGAAACGCCGTGAAATTTGGCAGGCGAACAACCACTCGCATTCATCCTAGCTGGCGTTGTTTTCTGCTGGGTTTGAAAAGGTCTTGCTGAATGGATGTTTCGGGACCGGGAAGACCATGATTGTTCCATTGATGATGCAGACATGTGCTGCTTTAACTTTGAGGCCTTCGCAAGTCTAGCTTGGTGTGGAAAAGGCTTGTTGCTGACGATGTAAAGTTGGAATTCCACCCAGGCCCCCATCCCCCAGCTAGTCAAACAAAGGATGTTCATGTAAAGGCCTTTGTTTTAAAAGCCTTTAACCCCCCAGGGTGTGTATGTGTGCGTGTGCGTGTGCGTGTGCGTGGTTTGCGCTTGTGTGTGTGTGTGTTTGTTTTGTTGATGTGCTTGTTTGGCAGCGCGCCAAGTTCAGCACACAGTGTGGTAACATGGTCCGTTCAGGTGGCAACACGCGTTGCTGCTTCTTGCAGCCGCTATGCACCTCCCTCCAAGCCCCCTGGCCAAAGCAGGCAGTTTCAATTAAAAACCACGGGCCCTGCGGTCCCAGCCTCAGAAACCGCATCAAGGCGAGAGGTGGAGGGGACCCACCGGAGGCTCAGGGCTTTCTCGCAGCAACGGGATTCTTGGGCTGCGAAGTGCTGGCCGCGCTTTTGGCGAGAAACATCACCTGTCAGCCTGCGCAAAGCGAGTTTGCTTTGGGCGTTCTGTTTAAAGCAGAAAACTAGGGTACCCTGGAAGATTCCTTTTCGGCTTGCATACCAATTTGTGATTTATAGTTTGTCCCGCACTTAGAAAAACGTCTGAATGCGCACTATATTTGTCAAGTTTGTGCATAGCAACTCGTTCAGATACCAGGGAACTCCCGTTCATGAAGGCCATGGCAAACTCCGATACAGATTCAGAGCTGTTCCCCAGGGAACGGGTACGAACCCTTCAAGCCTTCATAACCCCAAACAGGCACTAGTCGCTACTAGTCACTAGGCTGCGAATGGAATAGAATTCTTGAGTGCAGTTTAAACCACTAAAAGTTAAACTTTTGGCAGGGGAGCAGAAAGCAACAGAGGTTTGACCGCATATGGAGAATTTCTTTGGGTCCGAGGCTTGGTGCTGCACAGCGCTGCGGTGAGCGCCTGTGGCAAGGCGACATGGAGATCTCTTTGGGGTCCGCCCCAATGCGCGAACCCTCACGTGAGAACCCCATGATCCAAATGGCTGGCTTGACGGTTTGGATGTAGGTGCGCCTCCCAAAAAAAGGGGGAGGTCTCCTTCAGCAGGTGGGTTTCTAGATGGTTTTCCATCACAACATCAAACAGATGGCCTATGATGGCCTTGCAAAAACGACCCTCACATGGTGGATCTCTTCAAGCCATTCAAAAAGGGGCCGCGTCCGGCTCATCTGAGACAGGCCCATGTGGGCAAAAACAAGGCGATGGATTCATTTCTTTACAGACTTCCCTTTTCGGGGCCTCAACTTTGTGAACTGCTGCAGGCTGTTTCAGAGGTCTTTAGATGTCGTTTTTTGGGTGGCTTGACCATCACGCAGTGAACCAGGTTAAACTGGTTGCCACGAATCTGCATGTGAATGCTGTCCAACCCCACTAAAAGTGTGTGCCCATGCTGGCCTATCTTAAAACCAGTCAAAGGAGAGATAATTACAAGGACTCCTGACTCAACTGATCAAGCCCAGGGTAGAAACTGGGTTTGGGTTCCCATTTGCCTCAAAAAAGCTCCGTGTTTTGTCGGTTGTTTTCGTGTGTTTCTTTTTTCCGGGCGGCAAATCCCCCCCCCCCCCCGTTCAATGATGAAACGAAGCGCCCGGGTCGAAGGGCGTCGAAACGAGGCGACGGAGTGGCGCAGAGCGGTGCAGCTGCTGGCGGTCGCGAGGTCGCGAGCTGTGCGCCTGGATACGGCGCTTCGGCCGGAGAGAGGTCGATGGAACGGCTGGGACCCAGGTGTCCTTTTTGGTTGGTTTGCTTAAAAAAGTAGAGGGCCCTGGTTTGGGTGGTTTATTCCATTTAGGGCCATCTATTTTTCCAAAAGGCCACCTAGGACCTGCTTTTAGAGTCGCCCTGATTCGACTTCCTGACCTCCGAGTTCGCCACGCGAAAAGAGAACCATTTAGTTTTTGGGGCCCCCTCTCCTGAGGCACCCCCAGTTAGGGTGTGATTTTCTATAGACTGGGATCCAGTCTTTTGAAGACTTGGTTTTGTTCAAGACTCGCGAAGTATGATCCAGTATCCCAAGAGCATCAGTCTGGGTTGGGGCGCGTTTGGGGAATTGAACCCTGGCTTCTGTGTAGAGGGTATGTAAATGGGAAAGCACTCCAAACCGCCAAAATCCAAGCCACCAACTAGAGGAAAGCTGACCCTGGAACAGGCGGGCGTGTCCACGTGGTCTCCCTTTCTCCATTCAGCTGGCCAAAATTTGCACGGCGGAAAATTGGTCAGGTATCTTGCGGTCTCCCCTGGGTAGGAAGTTTCTCCCCCGCACCCGTTCTGATAGTGATATAAAGTGTCACGGTTGCATGGACTTCACAGAAGTTGGCACCCCCATTTGCCACCAGCTTCGCCTCCAGCATCTCCAAGCAAAGTGGAGCCCCCAGCACATCTCCCTGAAATGAGCCCGCCGAAGCGGCATGGCTTGCATTTGTTTCCAAGATGGCCGTGGTTGGCAAAACCAATGGTACTATTTTGGGGTGTTCGGTGCACCACCCATCTTAGTCGGGATTTTAGTGGGGATTGGGATGTTCACTGGGGGTACGATTTGGCTTTTGACCCACCAGATGAGCCCAAAACAAAAAAACACCCAAACGCCTGTGAGTCCAAAATAAACCACCCAAATGCCTTTGTGAAACAAAACATCCAAACGCCCGAGTCCAAAACAAACCACCCCAGACGCCGTTGTGAGGTCATCTACAACTCGGCCAGCAGCGCCTGTGCCGGCGCAGCCCTCTGGCGCCTCTCCCTGGCGCTGCTGGCGGAGGTCTCTGGCAGCGTGGTCAGCGTGAACGCGGCCGTCACGGCCTGCGCCGAAGCAGGCGCCGCGTCCGAAGGCTTCCAGCACCTCCAGCAGCTGGGGGGGTGGCTGTTTTTGAGGGTACATTTGTTTGGGTGGTTTAAATGAAAGTTAAAGGAAAACAGAAGCAATCTTGGGATTATTTTTGAGGGAACATCTGTTTGGTTGGTTTAAATGAAAAGGAAAAGCAGAAGCAATTTTAGGCGTTTGTTCTAAGAAAGACACCCAACTCGCTCAAGAAGACCCGGTTGCTTTCCGTTTGGCCAGTTGTTTGGTGTCAGTCTCCTGTGTTCATGCTTTGAAGCTCGGGTTGACACCAGTGGCCCTCAAAGCACAACAGGCTGCTGGCGATGATGTTCACGGCCTTCTGCATGAAATATCATAAAACCGTTGAGCCCCTTTGCTGGCTGCATCATGGTTGGTTGCAACGACTGCTTGATGATCCCGTGAATGAGTTGGAAAAAGGCGGCTCTGCAGAATCTGTGCAAGGCTGCAAGGAAGTCTTGCTGTAGCACATGTAGGGTTCTAGAGGTTCACTAGAACTTGCAAATTAAGCTCTAAATCTTATACATGCATGAACGAGAGGCCGGACAAGACTCCCGCAGAACTTGTAACGAGCTTTGGGTGTCAAGCGTTCTCGCCAGTGGGTCCAGTACTACTACTTGCTGAGCCAAGGTGCAAAACAACGCTTGTCGACACCTGGGAAAGGAAGCCGGAACCGGATGGATGCCAATACGGCCATGGGTCATAACCTATGCCTCCATTTTGGGGCGGATGAACGCCCATGTACCACCTATTTTTATAGTATTTTTATGTTCACCAGGGGGTACAGGGTTTTGACCCACAGCCATATAGTTTCTTCAGACGGCCCATGTACCGCCCAGCAGAAAATCGGACGCACGGCGGATGGGCGGGCAGGGTCTCTCAGGTCAGTGGCAGCGTGCTTTGGAGCTGCTGAAGCGAGAGCCGAATCTGGTGACCTTCAATGCCGCCTGCCAGGCGATTCCCTCGGCGTGTTTTTTTGTTTTTTTTTGGGGGGGTGGGGGGTTGGGGGAGGTGGGGGGGGAGGTTGGGGGGGGAGGTTGGGGGGGGAGGTTGGGGGGAGGTTGGGGGTTGGGTTTGGAGGGGGAGGAAAAATTTGTGTTGGGGGGGGGGGTTGGCAGGCGGGGGGCGAACATCGCGGCTCGGAGCAAGCCTGGTTGTCTTGGTTTCCAAAAATAGGGGAGGTGTCGCCCCGAGATCCGGCCAGGCCCATTTGTTCGGTTGTTTTGCCCAAGAAAGGGTGTCTCAAAAGCAGGGACCATCCAAGAGGTGGGCAAATCATTTGGGGGAGGCCAAAACGGGGGAAGAAACCAAATGAAGGTGTTGCACTTGTGGGATTACTTGCTTCGGGTTGTGGATAATTCAGAAGTGAAAGGTCAGGATACTGTGTTGTCGGTTGTTTTGTTTCGGTCGAAGCCCTGAATATGGCGATTGCGGAGCAGACAAACAGAGGGCACGGTCCGCCAAAAGCACTACCACTTGACATCTGCAGCCCCTATCACAATGTTGATCTCGGGGGCTGGGTTATGCGCTTGGCTTCAACATGGTAACTATGGGAAAGAGGTCGACACACAGTGGGCGATGCCACAGAAGCGATGTCCGCATCCCATTCGGTGGCAATATTTAGGGCTTCCACAGTATGTCAGGTTGTCATCATTTCAGGTTGTAAATGGGCAGATGTGTTCGCGTCTTGAACCAAACAAATCGTGTCAAGCTCTCGTCAAGCCAAGTCAAAAGGTTAAGGGGTAAAGGGATCGCACACAAGTAGTGCCAGGGGGAGGGACCCGATGTGTTTTGCGAAGAGATTCAAGACGCAAGCCACGTCTCCCAAAGTGGGAGTAAGATCCTGCTGGAGGTATGCCCAACTTGCCAACCCAACAAGCCAGTTGCAAAAAGACAGCATCCCTCTCTTCGTTAGGTTTGCTTAAAAGGCAATTTCCTGGATATGCACGAGCCTCAACTTTGGTGGCTGTCCTTTGCTCTTGCTCTTTTCAGCCACCCCAAAACAGGCACCCTCCCAACACCAAGCACTAAAGTTTAATCATTGACCAGTGCCATCCCCCCCCCCACCTAAATGATGTCCAGCAAAGAGTCCCCAATCAAAAACCATACCCATGTTTTGGCTCCCCCCCCAAAAAATAACGGAACCAAACACAACAAAAACAGAAAACCATGCCCATGTTTGTTTCCACCCCCCCCAAAAAAAAAAAAAACCAAGGAGAACAGCTCAGACCGAAAGCGGCTAGGCGTGCAGCAAGGCAAAGGCCTGGCAGAGCGCCCTATGGCTCCTCCATGCGGTGCCGCGCGCGGACGCGCTGACCTACCGCTTCGTGCCGTGGACGAATTCTCCGGGGTCGGGACCCGACGAACATCTAGGTCCCCCAGTAGTGCCAACTTTTACCAACTTTTTTTGGTTTGGGAGGGTTCCCCTACTAAAATAGACTACAGAAAAAAGTTGGTACCCTTATTCTAACTTCTCTACTGGAGGACCTGGACATGGAAACCACAAGGCCCCTAGAAGCCAAAAATTAGGTTTGCGTTTGCTAGCCCATGAAAATGTCCATTTTTGTTTGGGGGACCCACAGCTGGCAGGCCCCAAAACGAGGGTCTCCATTCTTTTGGAGTTCCTGGGCACCTGATGACTGTTCCAAAGCCAAGTCGTTGATTTGCGATTTGTTTCGGCTGTGTTTTATTTGGTTAGATATGTCTTCATTTGCTAAATCGCCCAGACAGTTTGGGAAGACGTCAATTTGGTGGCAAACCACCAGTTCGGCTGGCCAACTCGATCAGAAGGTGAGAGCTTTGGTTTGAGGTGGCGGAGGTGTTGCCCTGCACCCCGCGCTTGGAGCTTCTGGCGGCTTTGCAGCGCCTGGGTCTTCGACTGCTGCCGCTGGGCGTGAAGCCGTGGGTGCGGCGGGTAGGGCCAACCTGGAGCCCGGAAACACCGGATGGTGAGGTAACCACGCCAAATATGGGGTAACAATGCTGAAAAAGAAAAACAGCGCCAAGAATGTGTAGTAATACCGTCTTTGTAGAGGAAGTTGTTGTTTTTAGGGGAGTAAGTCGGAAGTCCAGAGCAAGTCAGCTCGTTCGCCTTTGGTGTTCCCTTCTTGATTCGAGAATTGTCCAGGTGCCAAAAGGTCCTATGGGTAGATATGGAAACCGCAAAGAGGTGCATCAGTTTGCCCTTGGTTCCACTTGAAGACAAACCCAGAAAGGGTACCTTCACAAGAACACACCCAGATGCAACGCATGTTCACAACCTGAAGTGGGGTCAAAGTGAACACTCCACATGGAAGCCAAACATATCATGTTGGGAGGGATATCCTTTAGTTTTGGGATTTCATGTTGAATCTGCAGGGGGTTGCTGTCGAGATCATGGCGTACATATAAAGGGACTTGAACTTACTTGCCAAATCAGCTCGACCTTGTGAGCTTTCTTGGCGATTTTCGCCGCCATGTTACGTCCAGGCTCTGAAACGTGATCAATGTCTATTGGAGGGCCAACCTTTTAAGGATTGTTTTTGTTTGTTTAAGGATGTTTTTTGTTTTTCAGGGTGAGTGGCTTTCGGCTTTTTGGCTTTCGTGGCTTTTACGTGGGTTTTTGTGGCTTTTGTGGCTTTTCATGTCGCATCCTTTGCATCCACACTTCTTGTTTTTTGTCCTGCATCCTCATCATCGCCAGTTCCTCTCTGGTGCCCCGCCACCCCCCACCTTGCCGGAAATGAACTGATGATGCTGAAAATGTAGGAAGCCAAGGCCCTCGATTTGCTGGTGATGCTGGGGATGTTGGCTGGACATGCGGGGGATATGGGAAACGATGCTGATGATGTTGACGGACTAGCGTAAAATACGTACATTTCGTGAGAAAATGCTGTAAAATGCAGCATATTTCTAGCCAGGACGGAAAACAAAAACAAATATAAATCCCAAATAAAGCCCCAACAAAACACGTAAGTTAAATCTCGAGCCATGTCTATTTCCAGGGTGCGGGTGGGAAAGGGAGTCAACAAAAGCATGAAACTTAGGGTTGAGAGAAGAGAAAGCTGGTTACCAAGGATTGTTGCCATCAGAAGTCCCTAGCATTGCCTGCGGCCCTGAGGCACGGGCTGGACATCCAATCTTTGACCCCGCGAGAATTCTGCCAGACCCCGTAGTTTCTGAACCAAAGGTCTATTTGTGCTGGGAAGTGTGAAGTTCCAGCTGCTGGCTGATGGTTTGTCGCATTTGTGGATTTTGGGTTGGAAACGTATGGGTTATACAGGGAATCCAGTTCGCACCTGGGATGAAACCATATGAATACTGGGATGGTGCAGGATTTCGTCCATCACTAGTAGAAGTGAATCAGCGTTGATGGTCCAGGAGTTCTGAAGAGTCTGAACTCTGCGACCTGCGTATGATGAATCTCCGTCCCTTTTGGGTAAGCGCGGTTGCAGAGCATCCCAATTGGGTGATGTTTGGAAATTGGTGGACCCCTGGCCCATGTCCCCAGCGCCTGGTGCTTCTGATGGGACTGCAGGTCTTCAACCCGTCGCGTGCCATGAGAGGGCCTTTGCAGGAGCTGGCGAAAGCACGCAGGAGCCAGGGGTCTCTATAGCGGTTTCGGGGAAAAGCGGGAGATACAGCCACAAAAGCAGCCCCTATGAAAAGGGCAAATATGTCCATCCCAGGGGGCAGGGTCACTCGGGTTCAGGTGGAGCTTAGATTGCCTTCCAGAAGGGAGTTGCGGGGCCAAGATCAGTTTCCTTCAGAAACCTGTCGGGCATTTGTCGTTTAAAATTGTGGGGATGCTCCCCAAAAAAGTCTTTTTGGCTGGCAGGTGGATGTCGACAAACTGACACAGGTGCAAACTGACACGACGCGTGGCACGCACGGGTTGACTTGCGTTCGAAGGAGCCAGGGTGGGGGAAATCTGCTGAAATCTCAAATGATAAATAGGTGCAGGCTTCATTTTGCCCCTCAAGGACTACCCAAGGTGGACTTGTTCTAGACTTTACCCGGGCCATTGCCTGGTTTCTGTACCCTGAGTGTCCCCTGCAGCGCCCAATCGCAGGCCCAGCTCCCCAGCGTCCTGGTTTCTTCTAGGGGTTGGGACCTGGTCGTAGCAAGACTTGCCCCACCCTGATTCAAATCCTTGGCGTTTTGCACTTTTGATTCGGAGGAGCACGGAAAAAGGGTGAGACCTTCATTCGACGAGTCTATGCTCATCTGACGAAGTGAAGGACGGTATGGTGTAAGAGCACGTGGGTTTGGGTCAAAATAGGAGGACCCAGAACAAAAAGTGGCGTTCTTTTGATTTCCCTTCCAACCAACCTTCTGACAGAAAAGTCCTTTCCCCAGTCTCTCCACAAGCGATAGCAATGGCCATTGTTGATGTGCTCATGGCAATCTGTAGCACAGCATTTTGGCACGGCACCAAAATGACCAAGAGTAGGGGTGGTTGCGCTGACGCCCTGAACCAGCCATAAACTCCAACAACGCCTATTGACAGTCGCTCCATCATGCGGGGTTTTGCGCCTCGTAATAGCACCGTGGTTTGGGATGCTGCGCATTTCCGCAGGTAACTGCTTGGGCAGTCTGGAATGGTTTTAGGGTCCTCCTTTCCAAGGAGATCCCCCCAGGTTTGGTGGTCTTTCCTGCCCTTCTCGTTTTCCAAGGGGATTTTTAAACCCCAGGTTTGGTGTTCTTTTCTGCCCTTCTCGTTTGCCCAAAGCGAATCGACCTTTAGACCTCTTGGCTCTCCTGATTTGATCCATTCGCCAGTGTCGAGATCAAGCAACAACACTGATTGAATTTCACGCATAAATATGTGTTGTGCGCTGAACGGTTCCTCCTTTTGCACAGTCCGGTTGTTTCCTAAAAGTGATTCGAACGCGTTCTGGCCCATGGGCAGCTAGGAGTTGCTGGTCGGATGGGTGTTACGTTGGCAACTGGAGACACCCATGGAGCCCGAGAAGCAGATCTCAGCCAAGCGGATCTCGGCTTGCTGAAAGCCTGCGCGGATGATCCGGACGGATCCAAAGCCGGACCCATGGCTGAACAGATACCTCAGGTGTCCTTGTTGGTTGTTTTGCTAGAAAAATAGAGGGCGATTCCTGGTTTACCTGGAGGTTAATCATTTGCCAGGGCCATTTCCCCTAAAAGGGCACCTATGTACCTCACTTCCCAAGTGGACATCATACTTTCTGGGAAGAACATGTGTGTGTGTGTGTGGTAAGCTAAGAGTTTACTTTTTGGGAAGAACATTTGAGTGGTAAGCTGAGACTCAGAGAGGTTAGACTTCTTAACCGCCAATCCACTCAGGAAGCGAGATGCTTGTCATGGGCACAAGAGAAATGATGTAGGCTGGGGCCATGTTCTCCCAGTTGGGGATGGGGAGTTCGGCAGGGGTCCGTATGTTCCTTTTTGTGGACCTTTTGAACGGAGCTTCCTTTGAGGGAGGCGATGCTTAACGGGGACTCATTGGGCCCCTGTCAGAACTAGAGGAAAGACCTCAGATGCCCGCATGGGCACAACATTTCCGGCAACCTTGCTGAAGGGGTGTTTAACACCATCCACGCATCCAACCAATTTTTGGGCACAGTCACGTGGGATCCTGGTTGGTGGGGTGTTCCTTTTCCATAAAAATCCGTTTCGACCTCAACTATGGACCAATTTATCCAACTGCAGGACATCGAGGCTGTCGAGCGAGGCTGGCGAAGCTGTTCGACCCCACAACGGCGCGCAATCATGCCACAAAAAGGCCCAGCTTCCGCTGACTCCAGACAAGGGAGGAGCTTGCAACATGGGTTCATGACGACCAAATTACATCATCATAGGGGGTACCTACATTGAGCCCTTTTGCTTCGCCTTTGTCATGCTTCGACTTTGTCGTTTCAGCCAGGGACCAGCCTTCAATCTTGGAGGCAGCGGATGCCTGGCTCGAACTGAAACGGCCGAACCGCCCGTGGCACGAATCGATGACTATTTCTCGAACCTTTTTGTTCAAAAGGGAGTACGGTGGTTTCGGCTCACCTTCCATTTGGTTAAGGCCCCAGGAAAAAATGATGATAATAATAATAATAATAATAATAATAATAATAATAATAATAATAATAATAATAATAATAATAATAATAATATATATATATATATATATTTATATATTTATACGTGTATATATATATATATATATATATACGTGTATATATATATATATAATAATAATAATAATTAAAAAGACAAATGTCCAGTAGTGATGAATTCCTTTTCAGACCCACACGGGAAAATACAAGCATATTTTTAAGCAAATGGAGGTCCCTCTAGTTTCCCTGGCCCTACGATCCTCTGCTCGCTTATGGCTCAGCCTTCAGAGATTCGCCTTGCGCTTCTGCGGCAAGCGGCGAGGGCGCGTGTTTCAAGTACGGGTGGTTTAGTGGCTGCCAAGCCATCTTCCTTGCAGGAAAACACAACGGCTTTGGTCTTTTGACTTGCTTTGACTCCGATATGCAGAAGCATGGTTGAAAGAACTCCAGCTGTAATCTGCGCATTCTGTCCAGTAAAGGGCGCACATGCGGGGAAAGTTTGGGCTAACCCAGGCGCCTCTTAGGCTGTGGCACGCCCCAAAAGGTGATTCCTAGCCAGATAGATTCACATGGAACCCCACAGGACCAATCCATTTCTGTGGGACTGGGAATATCCTTTCCCAAGCCCAGTTTTCCAGTTTTCCGGTAGACCAAAGGAAGCAATTCTGAGTCGACCATGTTTAGAAAGCCAAGGCAAAAAGGATTTCAATGGAAGCCACCGATAATTTCCCGAACTCAGCTGGCGTGGCATGCGGCGCCATGTCGCATCTGAACGCAGCGAGTTGCACCCGGTGATCCGCTACAACCAGGCCATTCGCGCTTCCTGGCAACGCAAGTTGGCCCAACTCCGTGGATTCCGAAGCTTCCATTTGCTCAAGAGTATGTTTGTTTTTTCCCCCCTTGTTGGTCTGAAAAGGAATTCATCAAAACTGGCAATATGTTTATTTTTCCCTGGGGCCTTAACCAAATGGAAGTTGCGAAGCCATTGAACTCCATTGTTGTTTGATAGCTACCGTTCGGACAACTGAGTAAGGGCTATGAGGGGCCCTCATTTCACAAGTTGTTTGGACCTCCAAAAGTTGTGTTTCAGTAGAAATCACTGGTGCTTCTGTGCTTTGTCACACTTAGTCCGGACAGGTGCGCCTTTGGCTTTCTTCTCGCCTCAGCAACCAAACGTCAAGAGTTCGCGTCGATAGAACCAACAAACAAATCAGACCCTATGCATCTCAGCCGACATGAACACATAGTGTCTAAAATTGTGTTGTGTTTTGGTGTTGCTTGCGGTTGTATGGTTTGTGTTTCTTAACTATGCACGAGGCCTGTCAAAAGCGGCCTGAAGCTCAAACCGTTCTGGCTCTGTCTGCGAGCTGTTTTCTTGTTTTTGCACCCACCGATAGAAACTTAAGGCAAGCACATGTGTTGTTCCATTTGGATGCAAGGTGTAAAGTTTCAGGCTCAAAGTATAGAAGTCCAAATGTAATTCAATTGGAGTTGTTATTTCATAGTAGGACCTGACAAGAAACTCATGCCCTCCAAATATAATTGCAATATAATTGCAATATAATTAGGAATTGAATAGAATGCAGGACGGAAGTTCTTTCTTAAGTTAGGATTTAAATAGGAGCTGCGTTCCGCCAATAGGATTTCTATTTATTTATTTACAAAAGGAGTAGAAAACAAAAGAGTGGCGGTTGAATTTGAATATACTTTGAAAGTGTAATACTCAAATAAGTGATATTTGTCATCAATATCCCTTGGTTCTCTATTGGTTGTTCAAAATGTTCAGGAGGCAGGCCGAGCATAAGAAGCAATAAGACGTCCGGTTAAAGTCTAGTTGAACTTCAATGCAAGCCCTGTTTGGAAAGGAACTCCTGTTTAAATTATAGCTTAAGATAGAAATACCACTTGAATTGTTTCGTAGTCAAATGTTGTTGATACTGTACTTAGATTTCTCATCTCACTCCTTTGGAAGGAGTTCCTTTTTCGAAAACATGCCAAAATCCTCGAGTTTGCCAAGAGCATCAAAAAAGCATGGCAGACTCCATGCTCAGGATTTGGAGCCATGGGGTGTGACATGTTGTGTTCTGTTTTTGAAAACCCGAGCTTTTTCGCATTTGTCCAAACAAGCAATTTTGGGCACAACATCCAAAGCAAAAAAGGGCATTGCCCTAACATGCGCTCGCTCATGTCTCACATATCTGCAACTGTTGGGAAGCCAGTTGTTACGTTTCATGGCTTGCAAGGGGGCGCTCTCTTCCTTCAAAGGGGTGACGCTTAAGGAGGAAATATAGGCGGCTGTTGCTTGTCAGGTAAAACTCGGGGCCAAGCTGAGGATGAGCGGCAGTGGCAGAAGGCCTTGCATCTCTTTCGGGAGTTGGAGGATGAGGGCCTGGAAGGCTCTGGATGAAACCGCAAAACGCGGCGGGGGTTGCAGGGCTTCCTGTGGTTTGCCCACTCTTTTGAGTTTCACATAAACCCGTGGCATTGATCCAGGCCCCCTGGTTTCTTTGTTGTTTTGGGCTGCCCTTGAACTTCGACCAACCAAAACAAGGCGACTTGTTCTCTTGGAGGAAACCGCTGGTCGCAGGTAACGGTTCCGGGTTGGATCTCTACAAGGGTCTCAACTGGTTTGGCCTCCCAGAAACGATTTTGCCATGGGAGGTTCCGTCAATTTTCCTGCAGTCTAAGGTTGGGAGAGTCGCAAGGGGCTCTTCAGATTTCAATCACAAAAACCGGGAGACCAACCCTCATGTCACGAAGGCTAGCGTTAGCAAGCTTGAGTTCCTACTTGAATTGCAAGTGTTCCGGATGGATGCACCACTGTGTGATTACATCAAATGCAACCGCCGCTTCGTGCGATTCCAATCACACGACCTTCCCCGCCTCGCAGGCTCGAATCCACCTTGTCGCCTTGAATTTGCGCGCGCTTGCGTAGCAGCTGGACGCGCTTGCTTGTTTACACGCGGTGGCGCATTGGCGCACGCACTTTTTGCGCGCAGTCCCCGCTTGCGCTGCCACCTGCGCCTGTGCCCTCGAACAGCTGTCCGCTCATGTTGCCTTTTGCCAACGCACTTCCTTCTTTGCGCACGCTTGCCTTTTTTTCTCGTCCGTAACTCACATGCCCGGCTGCCTCACTATGGGCGCGGCGACGCTCGTTTCGTGTACCCGTGCGCGCCTGCATAGATGTTTGCCCGCACATGCTTTTTGCGCAGGCCCCTTGCCTGAGCTGGCACGGATGCACTGGCGCCCTTGAACATGCACGCTGGCGCCGCCACTTTTTACGCACGCACGCGCTTGCAAACCCAGTTGCGCTCACTCACGTGCTCCCCTGCCTCCTTCGCCTACCCCCGGCATGCGACGTGATTTGCGCTGCTGCAACCCTCGTGTCCATCTCCGCGGCCAAACTCAGATCAAGAGCTATATTCCCGGCAAGATTTGAAAGACCTCAACTTAACGTGGTGTAGTGGTTCCGGGTGCCTCGTGTAGTTCCGGGTACCTGGTGTCGTTCTGGGTGCCTGGTGTGTGTTCCGGGTCTCTGGTGTACGGGTGCTTACTGTGCTTTGTGCATTCTGTTCCGGATGCTTGGTGTCGTGCTGTTCCAGGTGCAAGGAGGTGCTTGGTGTAGCGCTCTTCCGGGTGCCTGATGTAGTGGTTGTTCCGGGTGCTTGGTGTAGTGCTGTTCCGGGTGCCTGGCTGTAGTGCTGTTCCTGCGTGCTGTTCCGGCTGCTTGGTGTAGCGCTGTTCCTGTTCCGGGTTGCACGGGTTCCGGGCGCTAAGAGCCGGAACCGCCCTACGCCAGGTACCTGGACAAGCGCTACACCAAGCACCCGGAACAGCGCTACGAAGCACCCATACACCAAGTACCCGAAACACCGGAACAGCGCTGCACCAAAACCCGGAACAGCGCTGCACCATCGCTACACCAACCGCCCGGAACAGCGCTACACAAGGCACACGCGGAACAGCGCACAAGCACCCAGACACTACATTGAGCAGCACTACACCCGCGTAGTAGTAGTTCGGGGGCCTGGTGTTAGTGCTGTTCTGGGTGCTGGGTGTCGTGCTGTTCCGGGTGCGCTGTGGGGCTGTAGTCCTCTCAGCTTGGTGTAGTGCTGTTCTGGGTGCCTCCTCGTGCTTCGCAGTGCGGTTCCAGGTGCGCGTCTGTTCTGGGTGCCTTGGGGTAGTGCTGTTGCGGGGTGGTGTACTCCCGGGTGCTTGGTGGGTGTGCTTGTTCTGGGTGCTTAGTGTAGTGCGGTTCCTGGTGTAGTGCTGTTCTGGCTTGGTGCCGGGGTGCCTGGTCCTGGTGTAGTGTAGTGCTGGGTGCCGGTGTGTCCTGCTGTTCTGGGTGCGCGTGGTGCTGTTCCAGGATTGGTATTCAGGGTGCTTGGTGTAGTGTGCGTGTGTGGTGCTGTTCGGGTGCTTGCTGTTTTGGGCTGTTCCGGATACCTGGTGTACTGCTAGCGCTGCTCCGTGCTGTCCCAGCCGCTTGGCATTCGGTCTGTTCTGGGAGTGCTGTTCTGGGTTATTGGTGTCGTGCCGCGCCGGTGCTGCTCTGGGTGCTTGGTGTAGTGCTGTGCTGTAGTGCTGTTCTGGGTGCCTTGAGGTAGTGCTGCGGGGTGGTGTAGTTCCGGGTGCTTGGTGTGGCGTGCTTGTTCTGGGTTGTTGGTGTGGCGCTGTTCCAGGTGCTTGGTGTGGTGTAGGGTGCTTGGTGGTATTGTTGTTCCAGGTGAGTGGTGTCGTGCTGTTCCGGGTGCTTGGTGGTTCTGTTCCGGGTGTGCTGTTCCAAGTGCCTGCTGGTTGCAGTTCCAAGTGCCTGCTGGTTGCAGATGCTGGTGTAGTCCTGTGGTGTAGCGCTGCGGGTGCTGTGCGTGGTGTGCTGCTCCGGGTGCCTGGTTCAGTGCTGTTCCTGGTGCTTCGTGTAGCTGGTGTACTGGTGTTTCGGTGTAGAGCTGCCATGTCGGGAAAAATTGAGGCTTTGTCCGGGCTGCTATCACGTGGCGGACTGCTGCCGTGCCGCGTGTTGCTAGCTTTCGTCCACCCCTCTCTCAAGTTCCATGTCCATTTCGGAAACCACACATGTTCCGCGTTGTTCTTTTCTCCTGGCAACAGAGGGCGCCCAAGCCAGAGTTGGAGCAACTCCTTGCTTGATCATCTTTAAACTTGTCAGATGTTTTCCTTTGCGCGGCCGTGTCAACGATTCAACGACCCGATGCCGCTGCCGCAGCTTCTTGCGCCAGGCACGGCGGTGACCTTCGGCAGTTTGGTCAGCAGCTGCGAGAAGGCCTCCCAGTGGCAGAGGGCCTTGGACCTGGCGGCGCAGGCCACCTCGAGGCCGCGGGGCCAGTCAGAGGGTGTCAATGTGGTCGACTGGGAAAGGGCTGGATGGGATGTCCACGCGTTCTGCTAGTCCAATTCATCTGTGGGGCAAAAGCAAAATTAGAGGATCGCACTCAGCGGGTCTGGCAAGGTGTTTGGGCAGGATCTTTGGAAGGCGGTGTCTCTGTTCCCCAGCTTTTGGGGAGTTGAAAGAAAGCGCGCAGCCCCCAGTTCACAAGTTGCTGAAGGCCAGAACGAATCCAGCCCAGTTGCCCTCCTTTTGCTAAGGGGGCTGGGCAGCATCGTCACCTGCAATGCAGCGCTCAGCGCCTGCGGCAAGGGCCGCAACTGGCAGATGCTTCGACAAGAATTCCTGGAGAAGCCATGTCAAATGGAGTACCCTCTTTTCGGGAATCAGGTAAGCTGACAGGAAAGTTTCAAATTAAGTTCCTTTTTTTTTCCGGGAAGCTTGTGAGCTGACGGAAAGTTGGTAAGACCACTTTCCTGTTTGGGAATCATTTGAGCTGACGGAAAGTTGGTAAGACCACTTCCCTGCTTGTCCGCTTTCATGATTGTTGGGAAAATATGGTTGAGTTGCTGGGGTTTGTTAAAGGCCAATCTAGAGTGAGTTTCCGGTTCGGGTGGTTTGAAAAAATGAACCACACCTTTTTAAAAGGTTCATCTAAAATTTAAAAGTGAGTTTCCACTGGTAGAGTGATGTGCAAGTTGGCCAGTTGTTCAGGGGCACCCTCTGGATTCCTTTTGTTTGGTGACGTCCCGTGCAAAAATTGTGAGTCCGAAAAGGGGTTCTTTTTTCACTGCAACTGAGAGATTTGAACAAGCTTACCCACTTTCTTTTGGACAACCTTAGTTCTAATTTGCGAGTTATAGCAACTAGCCCAGAATCCTGCCAGAATTGCTCAGGGGAGACAATTCCATGCCCCTGACCCGCCCGAGAGAGGCATAGATATGTATATAATGTGAATATATATATATATATATACACAAGTATATTGACATGCATATCGAGATTGCTGTATATAGCTTCCTTGAAACCGAACATGCCAACCTGTATTAGGGGGAAGGCCTCATGCTTGGGAAACACATGGGTGCCCAGCTGCACATGGTTTCCCCACTTCGCCATCTCTCGGTTCCACGTTTGCTGGGGAGTTGCTTTACCCTCCCACGGCATTTGGTCAGGTTTGGCCGGGCCCCGGAGGAACAAACCAGTGGAAGTGTAGGCGCAGGCATGCTCTCCCAGAAAGAGGTTCCGGGGTAGGGGGAGGCACCTATTGAGGTGGCAAGAGCTTCCTTATGATTTAGTAGGTGTCATTGAAGAAATGCCCTGTCTTAGATATCTGCGTTTTGGGACGCCTCCCCAGAAAGCACCTCACAAAAACCCTGTCCAAGAGGAAAACCCGGCAATTGTGAGCTTGAAAGGGGAGGTGTCAGCATCTCACTTGGCCTAAGGATGGCCATGGAAGTCTTTCGGAAAGTGGAGGCGGATGGCCTGCAAGGCACGAGATCACCGCAAGAAACTCGCGTAGATGGCTGCCCCTTTGGTTTTGGTGCTGAAAATGTAGTAGTAGCAGTAGTAGTAGTAGTAGTGGTGGTGGTGGTGGTGGTAGTAGTAGCAGTAGTAGCAGCGGTGGTGGCGGTAGTAGAAGCAGTAGGAGTAAAAACGAACAGCATAATTTGTCTGCAGATATGTATGTAAATATGTGTGCGTTCATGTATATACATACATGCATACCAGCCATGCTAGGGGTGTCCCGATTGGCAATCTGCAGGTTGTGTTCAATTTCCACCAGAGCCCTTGCTTAGTCACTGCGCTCGAGGCACTGTGGTGACCTTCGGCAGTTTGGTCAGCACCTGCGAAAAGTCCTGCCAGTGGCAGAGGGCGCTGAACCTCATGGCAGATGCAGCCGCGAGGACGGGTCCATGCTTGGCTAGAATGTGCCAAGGAAAAAAACCGGACCCCAAAGACGTGGTGGCTTGCCTTTTGGTTTCCCTAGAACAATAAGAAACACATATACCCTTTTTCCAACGCTGGAAGTGGACACAACCGCGAAACTCGTAAGATTTGTATGAGAGGCTTGGAGGCCTTTTCAAGAGTGGAAGTCCTCCGACCCGTTGATTGTTGGAAGGAGAGTAGCGACCTCAAAAAGGGGGTGTGCGACTTCACCCAAGGTGAAAGCTTCTTTCTAGATTGTGTGTTGCAGATTGGTTGTTTAATGCCCCTCAGCTCAGCTGTTAAGGTTGTGGGAAATTGTTGGATTCAAAGAAAGGTTTAAAGCTTGGGCTGAGCGTTTACTGCCGTGGTGCGCAGACTATGGGGCCCCAGAAAGGGAGACATCTCCACAAGCGTTGCTTTCGGTGCATGTCAAGCTGCAAGGCCTTGGGACGGGCATTGGCCTCTTTGTCTGTGAGACTGTCAACATCTTTCAGAGCTTTCCAGGAACTATTTATAAAAGTGGTCCTACAGTAGCTCAAAACTTGCACCACCAAATCGTGTTGAGTCTCCCGGCCTGGCAGGGGGCTGGTGAACATCATCACGTGCAATGCCGCGCTCAGCGCCTGCGCCAAAGGCCGCAACTGGCAAAAGGCGGCGACGCTTTGGTCGAATTGGTGGCCAAGAAAGGATACATGGCTTTGTTTTTTTCCTCCAAGCAGCTTGTTTCCCCCCAAGCAGTTTGGAGAGCTGGGTCAACAAGTATATGAACCATGCTGGTTGTGGCAGGACGACCCCAGAAGCAGTTCTTCTACACGTTTGGGGACACTTGCAGTTGGCACAGGCTTTTTGGGGAAGCCCACTTTCTTTGATGCCCTGGTTTCCTCTAAAGGCAGGGCTGGCTGGAAACGAATCTGGAAGCCGAGCCAGGCCATGGAGGTCCTTGACCTGGTGCAGCAGCTTAGGCCGGCGATCCATCGCTCCCCTTATGTTCCCCTTGGACGCGAAAAGTCGTGCAGCTTCCCTTGCTTCGCTCACTGTCTTCTTCAAGCCAAGGCTTTACACATGTGAAAAAGTTCCTCGGGAAATTGTCTGCCGCCAGAAATCCGACGTTTTCCATCCCACAAGTTGGCATTCCTTCTGAAAAGTTAGCATGTGTACCAATCTGTGTTTGCACGAGGCTCGGTACTGAGCTCGTTTTGCGCTCCTTTGGCTTTGAGGCCTTCAGTTGGGGACTTGAGGCTGGGATGGTGTCCACCCACACCATCCATGAGCGGTCCATGTGTTTACGCCCTTTGTCTTCATTGGCTTGCCTGAAATAGATGTCAAAGCGCAAGGATTGGTTTGGGACTAGTCACACGCGCGGTGACATGGAATCTGACAAAAGGAGCCTCCCTAGTTCGGCCCATGTTCCTCTCAAAACCCTCGTGGGTTCCATGGAGACTTTAGCGTACTTTGGCGTCGAAGCGTGCGCTTCTAACACTGAGATCCTTCAGAAGTTCGCCAGTGATAGATCTCAAAACATGCGACTGGAACCAAAAACAAGCATAGGAATTCAACCCCTTTCAAAAGACAAGAGACTAAGCTGCTTCTTTTGTTGAAACATCATAAGCACACGCATGGGCAAGTAAAGCCGCAAGCTTGGATCCAGGCTGGAGCCGGACATCCTCACCTACAGCGCTGGTATCAGCGCTTGCGAGGGCTTCGGCTTGTGGATGGAAGCCTTGGCGCTGCTGGGACAAGCCTTGGCCAACCAGATCCAGGCCTTTGCCAAGGGGTTTTCCTTCTGGTTTGCCTTTGAAACCAACCTAAAAAGGGTGCCCTTAAAAAAAGAAACACGCGCAGAGACATGTTGGTTGTTTGGGTAGAGAGATAGATGGCGATTCCTGGTTTACCTGGTGGTGCAAGATCATCCACCAGAGAAATCCATCCATTTTTGCCCTAAAAGGACCGCCTATGGCTCCAGGTCGATGCGGAAGGGAAACCCAAGGGTAGCAATTGGCGACATGTTGCAATGGACATGGGGCCTCCAGATCCTGGGATTTACTTGTTAACTTGTTGCCGGGGTGTTCCTTTAGGTTCCCTTGGATCCAGGCTATGTGTGTGTTTGCTAGAGACCGGCGATTTTTGTTTTCGAGACACACCCATTTGGGGCCCTTCCCCCGACTCTGGCCCTTAAGGCAAATCAAAAGGAGGTGGCTCACACAATAGGACCCACTTTGGCAGACTCTCAGATCTTGGTGTGTTGATGTTGGAATGATATCTACATTTCCTCTTGGAGAGCTTGTGTGAGCCTTGGTAAGAACATGTTAATGTTGAAACTTAGCTGGACCCCATGAATATGCTCGAACAACCAGAAGGTCGCAATAAGCCCAAGCGAGGATGTTTAACCAATAGTGTTTCAAAGCATGCTTAACCAGGTGGGTGAGTTGTTTGACTGTTAATCAGGGGTAGGCCAACCCCTCGACGTGTTTCAACAGCAATTGTTCAACCGGCCTCATCTGGTTTCCCTGCACGATCAATCTCAGATTTTGGAAGCCTTGGGAGGGAGGTCACCAAGCGGCACTTTCTACATGAGGTTCCGCCAAGTATCCTGAATGCAGTCACGTTAAGGACTCCCTAATATTCAGCTACAAACAAAACAGTGCTGTTGAAGCATCACATGATGTTCCAGGCAAACACGCAAAGGGAAACTAGGTTCCGTGCATTTGGCTTCCGTGTTTGGAGACACGCGCATATCCCCTTTTAGGCATGCTTAACAAACAGGTCCCTACACCTTTATTGTGGTTTTAAACGTCACTTTCAGCCTGAAAATCACCAGCCTAAGCCAAACCAAACCCCAAGCACCTCTAGATGTGGGCATGCGTCAAAACAGACTCCAAAATCCTTGGTTTTCCTTCTGGTCCGCCTTTGAACCCCACCTAAAAAGGGTACCCTTGATTTAAAAAAAGAAAAAGAACAAGAAAAAAGCGCGCACAGAAGCATGTGGAGGCAGATCTGATTGCCTACAACTCCCTGCTCAGCGCCTGTGCGAAAGCTGGGCGCTGGCAGCGTGGCTTCGCCCTCTTCGATGCCATGGAGTCGTCAGACGCTTGGATCGATGTGTGGTGCTATTTGGGGATAGGCGCAAAATGATTAGACGATTCTTTTTTTTAAACAAAAACCATCCGGGATATGATTCTAGGGGAACAGTCAATGGCTTCAATTATTTTGCTGTATACAGCGGAATATAACTTGACTGCTATTGGGGCTTCAACTTTTTGGGAAATCAAGGGGGGTTTGCACTAAACCCCTAAAAAGTTCTCAACTTTTTGCAGGGCGGTCAACAGCAACCAAGATATGGGGCAAACTGATTAGACTGCGGGGGGTTGGCACTATACCAAGTTTGGAGATGAGTTCAATTCTTTAGCTAGATACAGCGGTTTGATTCGAGCAAAGTCCTCTGAAAAGAGTGGGCTAAACATCTAAGCTAAGGGAAATGATATTTTTGCGGCGAAGGAGCCTTGCCGGTCGTTGATGGTTGTTAAAGGGGAAGTACGGAACCCTTGTTCTTTCGGCATTGTGTAAAGAACAACGCAGTTGACCGAGGCGAACCGACCTTTACTAACTGTTGGGTTCACCGATGTTTGGTCCACGTGTAATTAGTTATGCAGGTGAGGCAATGATTGGCAGAAGGCTCTGTTTGGCTGGCTTATGCCATCCACACATCGTCCGATCGCACTTGGTATTTTATCCAACTGCATTTCTCGATTTTAGACGTCAGCTACATGTGTGATGTCCCTTTTGGTGCTTCCTTGTTTATTAGTTGTTGTTAACACTACCTCTTGTAAGGACCAATTGGAAATAGCTATTCTTTTGAGGGGGGATGTTCAAGGGTTGGATGCGAATTCTTGAAGGGGTCGAGACCCTAGCCTTTTCTCTGTTGCCCCGTGGTGCCCTTTTTCCTTTTTCGTGTAAGGGTTCCCCTTTAAACTCAACCGACAAAAGAAGGGTGCCCCTTTTTTTCCCATGGCCACTGGGCATCTGAGCTTTGAGGCAAGTGAATAGATTGGCAATCCAGTTGGAGCAGGCGGTCCCACCGGATGTGATCAGCCGCAACGCTGGCATCAGCTCCTGCGACCAGTGGCAGCGCTCCTTTTGCTGCCCGGCAGAATTCCCGTGGAAGTTTGCCAGTTATGGGTTTAGAGGGGGAATCTCAGAAATCCCCCCCCCCCCCGCTATGCCCAGTTATTTGTTCAGAAGGGGGGGAACCTCCAGAAGGCTGGCTTCCCTTTCAGGTACCGACAGGCTACCCTCGATTCAACGCGCGCAGGTAAGGTTCCCTTGAACAGCACCACAAAAACCGGCGCCGCGTGTTTTGCCGTGAAATCACATCCCCTCCTCGCCCAGAAAGCGGCGTCGTGAGGTTTGCTGACCGGGGGTGATGTGGTCAGCTATAGCGCCGCCGCTTTTGCCTGCGCCTTGGCCAACATCTGCGGCATGCTGCCAAGTTCTTTGGCCTGGGGGTTGCGTTGGCGCCTTTTGGAGGCTTGGGGATGCCAAGTAACAATCAGAAGGAACTTCGCCCAAGCCAAGATGGCGCGTATCATGTTGCAACTCTTGCCAGATAGCACCCAGGATTCTGCTTTAGGGGCTCCAGACAGGAACTCGATGCGACGAAAAGTGGCCCGATGCTTCCTTGCTCGAGAATGCTGTTCGGATTCGTCAGGAGCTTGGCCAGAAAATCTCGTCAGAGCCGTAGAATCTGTGGCTTGCAAAGTATGGCGGCCCATTGGACCGATTCGATCGGCACAGGTTGATCCAAGATTGGGCGTTGGCAAAGAGAAACTGAAGGACGAGCAATGTCCTAGCCCTGCGGTACAGCTATCCTTTGAAAGGCTCGGAGCAGCGCAAGGGGTAGGGAGGGCAGGGAAAGTAGTTGGGCATGAGTTTGATGAACTGAGGGTTGTTGCAGGAGGACAATGGGGTTGAAACATCTTGTTTGCCGAATTGATCCACAGCAGGGCACTCAGGATACTCCATCTCCCATGTAGCCCAGTTTTCCAGGCGCCAAGCCGACGGAGGACGTGACCTGGCACCAAGCCCTGGCGCTGCTGGAAGCGGCCGCGGCCGCCGCGGCCGCGCCTCTCGGCGCCTCGGTGGTGGCGACCAGCGCCGGGATCAACGCCTGCGAAGCCGCCCAGCGCTGGAGCCATGCGCTGGCGCTGCTGCAGGCCGAAAGACGCGGTGGCCCGAGGAAGTTCCCAGGAGGGCGGTTTTGGCACCCTGGTTGTGTTGTGGCAGAAAAGAAAGGTTGGAAGCAGATGGCGAGCAGCATTCTCGGCAACGGGATTTGGAGGAGGTTGGGGCTTTTTCACAAAAGCCGAAAGCCTGAGCTGCATTGCGACCTTGGCCCTGATTTGAAAGCACTTTTGAGTTGCTTCGGCTTGTTTGCGGGAGGTTTTGATGTTAGCTGCTACCTACTAAGTTTGGGTGCCATTTTGAAGAGAAGGTGCCCCTGAAGAGAATGGAGAACGGTGCAACCACAAGTATCGTTGCTTGGAGCGCAAGAAGCAAACTGCCCGTGGCTTCACCCGTTTCCCACCTGGGACTCTCTCTGTTGAGTAAACTGTTTTAGACACCTCAAGAAAGAACTGAAGGAACCACTCATTTTGGAGGGCCCCGCACGTTGATACAAGCCCACCTCAGCTCTCACTTGCTTTCCTGGTAGTGGGCAGGGGAGCTTCTTGAGGTGAGGGTTGTCCAAATGTCCAACCCTCAAGCATCACTCATCAGAACTCCAATTCAACTTGGACCTTTCCAAGAGGTGCGCGCGAAGCCCCATGAAACCATGTTCATTTGGGCGAGGGGTTGCACAGCCGGCGGCTGCAACCGGACGCCATCGCCTACAGCTCTGCGGCTAGCGCCTGCGAGACAGCGGCGGAGTGGCAACAGGCGCTGCAGATCCTGCGGGATCTCAAGAGGCCGGAGGGGACGAAACGTGATGTCCTGGGGGTTCTAGGCGCATGGTCCAAACACATTTCCTCTTCGGAGCTTTGCCTTAAATTTGGTTTCCTTCGAAGTCCTTCTCCGTTTAGTTGATCGCTCAGGACTCAAAAACCGGCGTGGGCAAACTTGGTTGCCACCCCCCTCAAACCAAACGAAGCTTGGCAAGGTGGTGGAAACCGGGTTATCCAGTGGCTGCGACCACCTGGTCAACAAGGCATGCTGCATCTCCCAAGACGAAGCTGCAATTGTCAATTCCGAATAAACCGGAGTTCATGCATGGCTAAGCTTCGGTCAAAATGTCCAGCAGCGAGTCGGTTCCATTTGACAGGGACACGGGGCGGGGGGCTCGCCAAATGCCTTACAAAAGCCCCGGGGAGCTCGCGAAATGTCCCATCATGTCCCTGTCCCAAAATTGTGAGCTACAATCAGCCAGTGACCAAAGCGCTGGAGAAAATTCATAGCAAACCTGGCTTCACGTCCAGCTGGAGGCGCCTGCAGCCGGACCTCTACTGCTTCAACGCCGGCATCAGCGCTTGCGTGAAGGCGGAGCAGTGGGAGCAGGCCTTGCAGCTACTGCAGGAAGCGGTGGACGCCCTGGAGAAAGGGGAAAAGGGTGGGGGGGGGGGACCTGAGGGGGGCTATATGGGTATTAAACCACCGGGACCGCAGATTTTAGTCCTCGTCTCCATTTACCAGGGTTTTATTTGGGGTGCCTATTCTTGACCCACACCCATATTGTTTGTTTGTTTGTTTTTTTTTGGGGGGGGAGAATTTTGGGGTATGCGGTTGTCCCATGCAGGTTCTTCGCGCAGAAGGGGGGTCTCTTGGGTTTGTGGCTCCAGTAGAAACCTGTGGGTATGTGGTTGTCCTAGTTGTTCCGTTCATCGTTTTTGACTTGAAAAGGGTACCCAAGAAAACCACACCGGTTTTCAATAACCTAAAGTTTGAACCACCGGACCTAAACCGCCAGACATGTGGGTATGTGTCAAAATGGTGGGTCAAATCATGATGTCCTTTGTAGTTTCCGAAGGTTAAGGCTCTTTACTTGATGATGCCTGTTTCAGGGTTCGAAAAAATGGTACACTTGCAGATGAGTCTTATGTTAAGGTGTATATTAAAACTGAATGACCGTGCTGGTGAGAAGACGAGATCATCAATGGATGGTGAGCACTGCTCAGTTGATCAGTGGCTACCACCCTCTCAGTCCCTTTTTGCTTGGTGGTCCTCAAAAAGGGGGTCCCCTTTTCCGTGAGTTGGTGCAAATGGACACCAACGGCAAGCCAACCTTTTTTGTGGTACCCTATTCTGTTGTTCCTGTTCTTCAGAGGCCCCTGAACACTGTAGGGGTCCCTTTCCTGCCCGGGGCGTGGTTTGAATGGGCGTTTGGTTTTCAATCAAAACGGGGTTGATGACTTTTATTGTTCTGGACCCCCTATTTAAACGCCTTCAAACAACAAAAGCAGAATTGGGTACCGCCAAGAAAGATATGCCTAAATGCGCACATCGCACATGGTTTCTGCGATGCTGCACTGTTTACGCCTTGTTCTCCAATTCAAGCCAGTTTTAAGAAGGCCCGCTGGCAAGGGCTTACGTGGGGAAATGGCAAAGGGTTCGGATTGGGATTCGAGGAGCTCCACGATGTGCTGAGGGTTGATCCCACATATTCACCAGCTATTCAGAAATTCTGCTCGGCTTGGTTGAGAGTAATGAGGGGCATGCCTGGAAAGAACCACTTTGGACGACAGACGGGCTGATTTCGATTTCGTGGCTCCTTTGCTTTGCGGCCCTGGGGAGTCATGGCGGTCCATGCCCCGAACTCCTTGCCTCAATGCCCTCAATGCAAAAATCGCGGAAGACTGAAGTCTAGCTGGACATCCTCAAAATAGCCTCGTGGGTCATTGAGGGGTTTCCCACCCTGAGTAATTTTGATAAGATGCCATCACTGTCAGCCCAAGTTTCTTTGTGGTGTCTCTTCAAAAGCAGCTGCTATCATGGGGAATTCCCATCCAAGCTCAAACGAAAATCACCCCCAAGTAAATTTGAGGTGTCCCCTACTTTGTGGCAATAGACAACAAAGGGGGGAAATTCCCATAGCCTAAGGAGACTGTGCAAGTGGACGTCATCACCTTCTCCTCAGCCATGAGCGGTCGTTGGGTGGACTGGCAGCGTGCCATTTGGCTGTTGGCGGAGATCTCGCGTCGAGAAATCCAGGCGAATATCATCGCCTACTGCCCCTCGCAACTGAAGCTGAGACATGGTCCCCAGAATTTGCTTGCCTGTGTCTGTTTTTTTGCTTTTTTGGGGTCCCTCACCAGGCAAAAAAGATATGTTTTGCTGGGGTCCTAATTCCAGCCTAGAGACAGAGTCCCAAGTGATCAGATCGAGGAATTCTTTGGGAGTAATGTTTTAGGATGTTACTAATGGACCCGGTCAGATCAAAAAAGAATCGTTCACGCTCTTGGAATGTCGACTGGTTGCCCTTGCTTTGTGGTGGGATCAAAATAAGGAGATCAAGATTGAAATCCATTGGCGGGTGAACCAATGGGCTAACCTGGGGTTTGAACCAGAACACACCCCTAGGGCTGGCGCGGGCTTCCTACAACTGGATTCCTCGTTCATGCAACCAACACGCATTTGTTTGGCTCCACAGCCGCTAATCAGGTAGGCTCAGAGGGCAGTAGGGCTTCCAATGTTTAGTCACGCCTGCAAACTGCCAGGTGTTTTGGACAGGTAAGGCTTTGTGAGTGGCGTAATCCGTTGCCATCGTGTTGTTTCTCATTACAAAGGCATGGTTAGGTTATGCGCACTAGTCCCCCCCTCTCACAACCCACGCCTCCTGAACATTTCAGTGTTATCCAAAAGATTATCGGTTTGGTTGGGGGGGTGTTATGCTTTTCGGCTGCACCGGCTCTTTGGTTTCTCTTTCATAGAGGCCAGCCACAGGAAACTCTGCAGGAAGTTAACCACGTACCCATCAAAGGCAGAGAGGATTCGCGCACTTCCTGTGGCCCAGGTACGGAACCTTGGATCCCGGTACCCTAGGGAATACATGAAAGGGGCTGCGTATCCCGCAACAGGACCGCTGCCCATGCATTCTGCCTTAGTGCCAGAGCTCCAGAAAATGCGTCCCCTATGGGTGCTTTTTGTTTTTTATCACCTGTGGGCACAAGAATGCCATGAGGGTAAGTTGCTCGTGGTGTTTTTTCACCGCAACCCAAATAGGTGCCGCCATCCTTTTACCTTTTGCCCTCCTGTCCACCAACATGGAACCTGACCTGAGGGGTGCTGGAAACCAAATGCCTTGAAAAGAACCTCTGGGTTCCACGCTAGTGGACACGAGGGTATTCTTAAGAACTAGCATTCACCCAGCCAGTGGACACACCGTGCACTTTTTTCCTTGGTGGCTCTCCCTTTATTTTAGCAGTGGCCCAAACAGTGTACGCGTCACTAGCATAGGTGTCCTTGTTGGTTGTTTTGCTAGAAAAATAGAGATGGCGATTCCTGGTTTACCTGGTGGTGCAAGTTCATCTACCAGGGAATCCATCTATGTCAATCCCCTAAAAGGACACCTATGGACACGAGGCTATTCTTAAAACCTAGTCCACGTTTTCGCTTGAAGCCGCCCTCGGCGGTCTCGGAGGCTCGGCCATCACAAGCTGCGCCAGAGGAGCGCAATGGCAACAAGCGCTGCTGGTGCTGTTCCAGTCGCAGGCCACAAGGAAAAGTCGAAAGCCCATACGTTTTTGCTAGGTCCCCCAGCTAGGTGCCCTTCTCTACCAACCTTTTTGGTGTTGGGAGGGGGAACCCCCTACTAAAATAGACTACAGAAAAAAAGTTGGTACCAACTTATTCTAACCTCTCTACTATCTACTGGTGCTCCTAGTTTGAATTATGGGCCTCTTGTTCTTCGGCATCCGCAAAGCCGCGGCCGAAAGTGTTGCATGCCTTTTGAGGTGGTATCCTGATCCCTTCCTCCGGAACAATGGCCCTGTTTGCCTCGGGACTTCCTGGTAAGCGTGATGTTTAAAGAAATCCAGTTGGAACCCGGGCGTGCGCAAGGATTCGAGGTGCTTATTGAACATTGGTAAAGCCTCTCTGGGCTTGTCGCAAAATGGCAAGACTATTTTGGATTCGAAGGGAAAGCAGGAAGAAATCTATTGTCCGTAAAACCTGATTTTGGGGCATTCCCACGTCTTCGTTGCAATGCTCAATGGATGGAACCGTGTTTTGGATCACAGTCGGGGCCAGACGAGCGTACTAGCTTGGATCGCTCCAGTTTCAGATATAGTTTTGCATTTTCGCATGTATATACCTATATATATATATACATAAATCATGGACACCTGGCACGTGTTTTTTTGAGGGGGGAGGCGAGACGTGTCCCATGTCAGGTTTCTAGCGAGAGCATCGCCTGGGACGCCGCTCTCACCGCCTGCGAGAAAGGCAGCTGGCAATGCACGCTGGAGCTCTTGGAGCTTCTGAAGCTCGTCAGCAGAGAATAGGGTTTCTTGATCTTCGGAATGGTTTTCCTCCCAATGGCATGGCACATATATGAGTATGTGTGTTCTGTTTTCCTTTTTCCGGTTTTTTGTGTAATCATTATCATTATTATGTTTGTTATTATTATTCCTTTTTTTCGGGGACCCACCAAAAAGGCTTCGGTGGTCCACCCAGTGTCTCCCAAGTTGCCCGGTGCCTTCTGTCATACTGCCCGGTTTCGCACTTGGGAAACGCGAAGGTTTGAAGCGCCTGCCAACTGGTGCAGAAATTTGATCCACAGACTGTCTTCCAATACTGAGCCATAGCAAAAGGAGCCAGATGTTCATGGCCAAGTTTCCTCGGCACCTTTCTTGCAGCGTGTGCTCTGAATCAGTACACAAGTTGTGAGAGTTTCATTTGTTGACCTAAAGGTAGACATCAAACCGACTCCATTGTTCCATCCCATGTTGCCAAGTGGGTTCCAACCGCAAAAACTTGGTTTACACCCAGGATGATAGATATGGCCAAAAGAGCTGACCCCTTGTTCGATCCGTAGTGGCTGAAGATTGGGAACTGGGGCTTGTCAAGCTTTTTTCGGCGAGAATGAAAACAAGCCGGATTCTGTTTGATGGAAACCTCAAAGGAAAACGAAAGGAAGCCGTTGCGTCGCAAAATGCGTTGATGGTGTTTCCCCCAAAGGATCAGTTGAGCTTCTCCCAGGTGCCACTGGATGATTCTCTGCGGTCACATGCGTCACGCCGAACTTTTGCGTTCGCTTCTTTGTGACAACCTTTGACCTGACAGCAAAAATGCTCAGAAAACCATCCTTTAAAAGGATATGTCACTGCTCTGGACATGTTCCAGTAGCATCCTACAGTAAAGTAGTCCCTTTGGGTCATGGCAACCTACAACACAAGCATTCGAGCTTTGCGTTTCGCTCTTTTCGCTTTTGGCCAATGCAACCCAACATCACTCTTGCTTGTTCTCTTGTTGCCCTGCATGACACTCTGGCAACCCCAAATCAGACGGTTCAGTCTTTTGGGCCCCTCTTTTCGAATGCTTTGCTGACAGCCACGGCAGCTGTGAAACGCAGTCGATCAGCTTTTTGACCATGGCAGCCCAAAGGCGAGCTTGCGCTTGGTTGGTGAGGTTGTGCTTTGTTGGTTGCCCCGCTTCTTTTTGAAACGTTTGCTCGTGGTCACCCCCCCCTTCAAAAAGAAAGCAGCATTTGGTGGATCTCTTGCTGTCCCTTGCGTCTTGGTAGTCTTGCCCCTCCCAGAAACAAACCATTAGTTTGATCTTTTGGTATTCCCTTGGTCTTGTTCCATGGCAGCCAAAGATCGGTGTTTGGTTGGGCCTCTGAAGCAGCAAGTGAGGAAGTCCAAGCGGCTCCAGATGGATTCCATCTCCTACCAGGCGTTGGATTCTTTCGGGCTTGGTCCCAGGCTCATGTCTTTGTCTAGGTCCCCCAGTAGTGCCCTTCTCTGCCCTTTTTTGGGGGAGGGTTCCCCTACAAAAATAGACTACAGAAAAAAATCGGGCACCCTTATCCTAACCTCTCTACTGGAGGACCTAGTTGTTCTACGATTTCCATTGTCCAAGTCTTACTCCATGGCTGGTCTTGCCACAATCCTATTGTGCTGTCCATCGCTTCACCTCCAAGGGGTGTTCGATTTGTTGCTTTTTGAGTGGGAACGCCCGGTCAAAACAGGTCAATGTTGGGTGGCCTACCCCACTTGCAGATCAACCAGGAACTGACTTCCTTTGCAGACTGGTTTGTGTTTGGAATCCACACAAATCACATCACCTTGATGGCCCTGAAACCTCTCTTGCCAACAGGCAACCACCTGACCTTTGTCTCAGTTGTTCAAAGCCGACCTTTTGACCTTTTGCTTTCCCCTTTTTGGTTCTTCTTGAGTCATGGCCCCAAAAGGTTAACCTTCTTACTTGTGGGCCGTTTGGGCAACTGAGTTATTTGATGTATGCTGTAAGAAGCTCCATGTCTTAGTGGTGAACCAGCGAATGTCGAACGAAGACAAAAGGTAAAGCTGTTATTTCCAGCAGCTTGAAAATTATGTGCTCGGCAATGCAAGCTCAGGACCTACGGGATCTTTTTGAGTTTGGACTGAAGGCTCTTGGAGTCTAAGCGCAGTCTAAAACAAACCTCAGGGTATCCCTGAGGACCTTCAAGACAGTACGTATAGAAGATTTAAAATGGAGTTTTATTTCACGATGTCCCTGGGTTTGACGTCAGTGTTGTGGGCGTTCATCGTTATTCACTCACAAGTTGTTCAATCACCACCCAGATTGGAGACCCTCGCTGCATCGTGGTAACTCGCAGAGGGAAATTCTGCTTCCAAGTGGCCAAAGGAAAAATTGGGCCCTTTGCTGGTTGGTTTGCACTCCGAGGAAACCATTCAATGAAAAAACAGGTGCACCTGAACATTCGAGTAGAACGCCCTAATTCGCAAATGGGGCACAAAGGAAGCCTGGAATTCACTGGAGATTCTCGTTGGTTCACTGGGCTTCTTCGTGCGATTTGGAGTTTGACTCTTCACCCTGGCTGGCACCCGGCTGGTTTATTACACCCGGAAGTTCAGACGTGTATGGGCAAAACATGTCAGACATATGATGTTTAGAGGTCCAAGTGGTGTGCATGTAGGCTGCATGTTCCTGTTAAGCTCGGAAGGGCCTTGTTTGAGGCACCTTTTGACGCGTTGAAGGTCGTTGCCAATCAAAGTCAAGGAACCGTTGCCATTCGCCTTGGCCCCGTTGTGAGGCCGCTACCAATTCCTACGTCAGGGCACAGAAATGGTACCCGGCAGTGCCACTCCTGGAAAAGGCAGGCTCCTATGCGGAGGAATGCTGTTTGGATGCGCTTGGGACGGTCGCGCAAAAGATCCAAAGAGATATCCAAGATTCAAGCTGGTTCGCTGGACCAGGGAGTATGCGTTGAACCAGCCCAACCCCCCACTAAACATTCTTGACTGGCATGACATGACCGTTTGTGTGAGCAGGAGCTGACCTTACGGTCTTTCAGTGCATTGAATCGACATAGCCAAATCAAGAGCACGTCTTCCGAGACACATGCTGTCCATTTTTGGTGATGAATGATGAGTAGCGGCATGACGGTCACCCCGCTCTTACATGGAGATGTTCGAATATCAACCACTCACCGGCTGAGACCAAGCGATTTGCGGGCGGAGGCGCCAGCGAAGCAACCGGAGTGCACAACTGACTGGCTGACTTCGCTCAACAGTTTCTACCAAGTTCCGACTCCAGCTTCCCCGGCCCAGTAGAATATATATATATATATATATATATATTTATTTATATATGTTCATGGTATACATATGATATAGATGTTGTCACGACCCTTTTAGTCTAAATATGAGGGAAGTCAAAGTTATATGTTGTCAACCATGTTATGAACAGCTATTGACTTGTTTATGGAGCGTTGTTGAAGTGTTGCCTGTTCTATTTGTGAGTGTCCCGATGTTTGGATTGCCTGGGCGTGTCTGGGGTGTCTGGTGTTTTTCTTGCCGGGAAAGCCTTCTTGATTCTCGTTAGTTGTCTTCATTGAATTTGGAGGAGTTAGGCTTGCGACCCTGGACACGGAGGGCGAACAAGGCTTGTGACCATGGACACGGAAGACGAACATAACAGGACGGGTTGAAGATTACTTTCGGTCAGCTGAAACGTGATCTCTTTTGGCGTGCTCCCGCTCAACTCAAGCAGACTCGACTCAAAGAAAGCAAGCTTATCTCCTCAACCCTAAGGCCGAAACCAGATGTGTCTCTAATGTGTATCTGTGTATGTGTATGATATATATATATATATGGTCACCACCCCCCCCTGGGCCTACCTTTCGTTTCTTATAGTTGAAGGTGTCGAGTCTATTCTGTGTGCCTTCTTATAGATGCCTGAAACACTGTAAAATACAGTGTTTTTGTTAGTGTTGTACTTTCTATATGAGAGTAAATGGTTGCTTTCTTTTAGCTTGAAAAGCAACAAAGCGAAAACGGAATCGGTTTTTAGATTCGAGTCTGGTTTTGATTGAAAACATTGATTTTTATAGTAGTTTTGAGTATATTAGGAAAAACATTGAATAAATGATTTGTTCGCAGCTTTGAGCTTTGTAATTTACACAGACCTAAAAATTTAAAAATTCTTGAAAATGAATGCTCTGAGATCTGCAGATGCTAAATATATCTTGAAACTAAATTTGAGAATGGGGGGATATATGATTTAATTTAGCCATATTTAAGGCAAATTTTAAAACCAAATATTTTTTGTAAAGGTTAAATGATTTTTGTTTAAATTAATTATTGATATTTGGGAATGGTTATTAAATTATTTTGTTTAATTATAAAATTAATTGAATTTTAGTTATATTAAAATATATTTTGTTTGTATTGAAATATGGTTTTTGATTTTAATATGAAACAATATTTTTTAAAAATATTAATTAATTATATATATAATATGGAGATTTATAAATATGTAAATTTAATTTGGCATAAAAATATATTTGGATATATTGAGGAATATAAAGGATTTAAATTTTGAGATTTGCAGAATTTAATATTAAATATTATGAGGATTTAAAATTTAGGTTTTAGATATTTAAAATTTGAAGGAATTGGAAGATTATGAAAATAATAATGAATTGAAGAAAATATTTCGAATTTTATGTATATTAATTAAGTTTAATAATTTAATTGGATTTGGAAAAAAAATATCTATAAAATAATAATAATGTTGGATAATATTTTAATTATAAAATTATAGAATATGGAGAATTTAATATTAAATATTTATATTGAAATGGAAATATTGAGGAATTAGATGTGTATTAAAATATTGTATTTTGCAGAAATTTCTTAGATTAGGTTTGTTTATTTTGATTTTTTGAAATTTAATTATTTAAATTATCGATATATAATATTTTATATATATGTATATTGGTTTATTAAATGTATTTAATAAATATAATGTTTATATAAATTTATGTGATATATATATTTTTATTTAAAAATATATATATATATATATATATCCCTTATTTTTAATAGGATATTTGATTTTAGTTTGAAGAAAAGATATAGGTCTTATGGGGGGGGGAATAAATATATATTTGTCTAATTGATTTTGTTATTATATATAAGTTTGTAAGAATTAATTGATTTATTTAAGAAAATGGATGGATTATGAAGAATATGGTTCGTGATTGAAAAATTTAATAATTAATAAAAGGGGTGAATAGAAAAATTGCCAGAATTTGAATGATATTTTGGAAAGAGTATTGAAAGAATTTATTATTGTCTTAGTTGTTGTTTAAGGATAATTTTGTTGTTATCTTTATATATATATATTTTTTATGTATTATATTTCGATTGAGATGTTAATGTTGCAATTAATCTATTTTGATTATTATGATATAAAAATTAATTGATTTAAATTGATGTTAATATAATAATATGTTTTTGATATTATATCTATATAGTAATATATAATATTTAAAGATAAGGAAGAAGAAAGATAAATAGTCTATTAATTTGAGGAAGATATTTGGGATTTTTTATAAATTTGATATTGTAATTAAATTTAATGATTTATTTTATAAAATAGTATTATAATAAAAATATATATTTATATTAAATATAATTTTATATATTTCTATTTTTAAAAATAATAATGATTCATTTAATATTTTTGTATAATGGGGAAATAATGCAAGATCAGTAATTTAACTTGAAATTTATATATATGAGATAAATATATATTAATATTTAATTATATATTATATATATAAATAATATATAGATTTTAAAAATAAAAAAATAATAGTGTTTATAAAAAGAAATATTAGCAATAATTATATTTTTATAATCTAAAAATATATATTCTATTTTGTATAAATATTATAAAGAATTCAATTTTAAAAAAGATTTTTTTAAAAAAAAAATATATATTTATTTTAAGTAAAAACAGATTTATAATTAAAATTAAATTAATTAAAAATATAAACTAAATTTTGGTAATCTAAATAATAAAATAATTTAATTATTTAATATAAAATATAATTTCAAAAAATTATATTAAATTTTTATTATAACAATTAATTATAGATTATAATAATTTAGTTAATTTCTTATTTATTTTATATTTCATTTTATTCAATTTATTGTATGTTTTATGCTTTGTTAGTTTTTTTCCCCTACAAATCAATCAAATTTTCTTCAAAATTTTCATCAATTAATAATATACATATATATTAAAAAATTCTATTAAAATAAGGAATAAAAATTAAAAAAGATCAATTCGTCTCTCAATTCAAAATTCATAATTCATAATCATTTGTTTGAGTTGTCTACTCCATATTTCTCGATTTTAAATTCGTTATTCGTCTCGATTGCCAAATCCCAACCTCACCCGACCCGACCCAACCCAATTCAATAATCACTAGAGAACTAATTATCCAGCTACAACCCCCCCTTTCCGCCCGAGATTTGGGAAACTTCTGCGAATCCATAGCTCGTCTACGCTAGCCAATACAATAAAATGTTAAACAAAGAGTTAGCAATCATCAATATTCTCAAATAAACTGTGTAAATGAATATTCAGTTGAATACTCTTCTTGCCTTTTCATGTTGTATCCTGTGGCTTAAAACCAAACTATCGAAACGCGGCCACGGGGCTGCTGTCCACTGAGGCGAGGTGTCCTTGTTCTGACCAAGCTGTTCTATCGCTTAAGAATTCTAGACTTCGCCAAACCCTCGCTTCCAAAACGGTGCACCCCCAGCCGCGCTGAGTAACGAGGCCCCAAGGCAGAAAGCCCAAGGGCGGGCACTGCTGTGGTGCGCCCTCGGGTCCCTTTACCCGTGGGGTGTCCCAACTAAGGGCGGGCCAGCTCCACTGGCCGTGGCCTCAAGGGGAAAAATTGCAGCTCGTCTGGAGCTCGGTCTGGAAACCCACTCAACCTTCAACAGTTGGAAGTCTGGGTTTCCCTCTCAACCTGTAACGATTCGTGGAAATCCCAAGAGCCGAGCGCGTCGAGCTACGCGTCGAGCGCTCAGAAGTGGTGGGCATAGATCATGTTCTCGTAGGTGGGGTAAGGGTAGAGGCTTGCCTCCATAACCTCAGCACTGGGCAGCAAGCACTTGAAAGCGATGGAGGATTGAGGCCAATATGCCTGTAAATGCAAAAGGGCCGCTGATCAGTCGGGTGATAAGCAGCTGTCTTTTTGCTCCGGCAGTTCTTTGGTTTGGTTTGCTTGTGGACGGAACTGAACTCGCTCCTTTGACCGACCGCGCCGGTTGTTTTGGAATGCAACAAAAAAAAAATCTAATGGTTCTGCCAAGCGTTTCATACAGGATGCTTCCTCCAAGTGCCGGAATCTAGGCGTGGCACCTCAGGGTGATACTGCCCGTTTTGGGATATCAACGATGTGGTGCCTCTTGATTGCCCACAGATCCAAGCTCATCGGGTTCAGTTGGAGTTTGCCACGGAGGGAAAGCCTGGGATCGAGTTGTCACAATCCGACCGTCGCTGGTCCTTCCACCTCAGCCGCAAAACCGCTGGCGCAGAGATCAAGAGTTTGCTCGCCATCGGGATCTTCAAACGCCCCGCAAAGGAGACCTACATAACCAAGAAGCCCGAGGAGTCATGCACCCGATGAACCCCATGAACCCCATGAACCCCATGAACCCCATGAACCCCATGAACCCCATGAACCCCATGAACCCCATGAACCCCATGAACCCGAACCCAAGAACTCCTCCGAGGTTCTGCATCTGCCATCTGCCGAGCGGCGCCCTCGGCCTTGTCCACCGCAGCGCGGAGCGCCACCATCGCGGGCTTCACGGTGTCGCACAAATAGGTGGCCTCTGCCGCCAGCCCCGAGTGCCTCGGTTGCCGTGAAGCTAAGTGGAAGCGGGACTTCTCATTGAAGTGGCAGGATGCACCCTGGAGCTATGGGAACAGTTGGGTCTAAGCTGCTGAAACCGAGGTTCGAGCCACTTGACCCTGCGTGCCTTTTGGCGAAAGAGCAACAGTCAAGGCCGCCTTGCGGCCTGCAGAAAGAGTCTCACTTCCTTTAGAAAGCCGAGAAAAACCATCCCCCTCCCTAACCACTTCTTTGGCCTGCCCTCGAAGCTCCGAGGCCGGCACGGCTTCTTCTCGTAGGTGTCCTTGAGCTTGCTGAGCTGATCCACGATGGCCTCGTAGGTCTCCTTCCGCTTGCCCCCCAACTTCTCGAAGCCCTTGTACTTCTCCAGGTCCTGCCAGCTCAGAGCTTTCCGCTGCACCAGCCAGTTGTTTTCTTTTTCCTTTCCCCCCCCCCCCCCGGTTCGGGGTAGCGGGACAAGGAGTGGCGCATGTTTGTTTGTGTGCCTTATTCTTATTATTTTTACTTTGTGAAGACCTTGGTGAGGAAAGGGAAACCAAAAGGCGACAACCCATGTTTGGCGCTCCCCTATTATTATGAACATTGAAACACCCAAAAGGGGAGCTTGCAGTGAGGCGGTTCTTCTCCCGGTCCTGTGGAGAAGGCTGTGAGCTGCGTTTGGGAACATTAGGACAACGGCCCTCTTCAAAAGGAGCAAACCGTAAGAAGCGAAAAGGTTAATAGGTCCAAATCCTCTGGTCGTGGCACCTGTTGAAAGAAGAAGAAGAAGAAGAAGAACAAGCAGAAGAAGACACCCCATCCACCCAAGCACGCACGTACGCGAGCACGCACGTACGCAAGCACGCACGCACGCAAGCAAGCAAGCAAGCAAGCAAGCAAGCAACCAATCAACCACAGTCGACAACCCAAACATGTTCCACAACTCAAAGAAGAATACCCTAGATTGTTGAATTGTACATCTGCAAATCCTGGCACCTCAAACCCATGGCGTATCAGCAAGCAACCAACCACAAGTGTCCTTTTCGATTAGTTGCAAATAGGTGGTTCTGGTTTCAGTTTTCTTTTAAACTTATCAGTACCGTCTGGCCACGGACGCTTCCGGCGCCGGCTGACACTTTTGGGACCAGGCGAGAGGGTGGTGTGCCTCTTGTGAAATGGAAAAGAGAACGATGAAAACCGGACGCAACAAAGGGTCCCAGCACCAGCCGTTGAAGGAAGCCATTTTGGCAGCTCTTTCCGCACCAAAGAAATCTGACCACGCAGTGGAGCTGGCTCAGACCCTCAGAAGCAGTGTAGCAAACTGTACCTCTGCACTGCGCATATTTTACATCCGCTAGTCTCATGCCGGATAAAAGAGGCAGGGAAAAGCCCTGCAAGTCCGGTTAAGGAGTCCAACTCTCCGAGAGCCGTCCATGGCTGCCACGCGATCCGTCTTCTCCCTTTTGGATGGCAGGTTGCAACAGGAGTCAACAGAGTTTCCTTGGCGCAGGCAGGCAGGAAGCCGGTCTCCACCATCTGGATCATAGTGTCCACCTCGCAGCAGAGGCTCGAGATGTAATTCTCCTCAGCTCGGAGAATTAGGCGGCGGGCTGTGTGAGAAGCACTGGGCCGGCGTTGCCGGCCCACTCTGATTGCCTGCGGCTCAAAGATAGGGTACCCCCCAACATCAGGTTCTAGTTCCAGGAAAAACACCACTCGGCAAAATCTGTGTTTTGCTGAGTCCTAAACTTTGAGCGATGCCCGATTCAGGCTCATTTGTGGTGCGAAGGAAACAGACCCGGGGATCTCCACAATCGGGGTAGGTTTAGCCAAAAGGCAAGGATCCAAACGGAACCCTTGCACATGGGGGGGGGGTCCCATAGGCCCCCTAACAAGATCAAGCTCTTTTGCAACATCTGGCCGGACCTCCGTCTATCATGACATTCTGAATCAACAGGGAGTATCTGGTCCAAGCTCTCTACGGGTCCTTCAAAGTGACGCCCATGTTACCTGGCGATGTGAAAAGTCATCTCCCAACAAGGGGCTTTCCACACCAGGGACCAGTCATAATCGCATGAGGCAGGGCAAAACCAAATTGGTCAATGGGAACACACCTCAAAGTTTAACTGTTTAACTTCATCGGAGCGGTGTGGGGCTCAACAAACGAGGAGTCGCCGGTGGCTGCTTTTCTCGGTTTCACCTTCCCTTCGCTTTGCAACCCAAGCTTAGTCATGCTGATATGAGCAAACGATCAGCATCTATTTAGCCCATGTCGCCCTTGCAGAAATGGGTATGGGTCAAAATTAAACCACCAAAAAAACACAGGTTTTAGTCCATGTTTCCAATTACCAGGGTTCCATTTGGGTACATATTTTTGACCCACGGCCAAATCTCCTCTTGCCGAAAACCCCCGCACGAGCCGCGCAGCCCAAATATCGCACGGCCGAGGGGCGTACATCACCTCCTGGCGCGCCTCGGTCTCCTCGGCGGTGTAGATCTTCAGGGTCTCAAAGAGCCTCGGCTCCGACGGGGCGAGCTGCACCGGGCTCCATCGCAGAACGAAACCCAAAAAGCCGAGGTTCGACCAACAAAACGGAGGAAGGAAGAGGTCTGTTTGAAGGGATTTCCAAAGAAAACCCCCCTCGTTCTGGGGGAAACAACTGGAAAACCGTTGGTCGCCTCGAGGTTGAGGAGAGGGGGACCCGTGGCCCACCTTGTGGCAATCGAAAAGCCATATTCTGGCAACCTGTCCTTTTGCCGTGTCTCAATTGTGAAAGTGAAAGGCTCTTTCAGTCTTTCCAGATTCCCGATTTCGGGCCTTCTTTGGAGGTGAACCGTGTCTTTGCAGTCGACCATTTGTTGGAAAGTGCTGGTCACATAGCCAGCCGCTCGGGTGCCCGGAGACTGCAGGTAAGTTGGTGTCAGCCCAAATGAGATCTCTCATGTTTCCCCCTACAAGCGCCTGAGAGGCTTGGCCAACTGGTGGCTTTCCACTGGTCATCAAAGTGGGCGCACTTCCTAACGACCGGCTCCCTGAACTCAGGAACCCGGTTCCTCGGATTCCGCCCACCTCGCTCTCTCCCAGGGCCAGGCTGCTAAGGCCCATAGGTGTCCTTTTTGGGGAAAATAGCTGGATTTCCCTGGTTGATTGAACCACCAGGTCAACCCTGAATCGCCCTCTTTTAAACCAAATCAACCAACATTTGAACCAAATCCACCAGTTTACCAAATCAACCAACATTTGAACCAAATCCACCAGTTACCAAATCAACCAAGTGTTCTTTCTTTTCTTAACCAAACCAACCAAAAAGGCGCCTCAAAAGTGGACACCACTCGGGCGGCTCTTGAACGAACCGAGCGGCTTCTTGTTCTTGTCGGAGCTCCAGGTGGCCACGGCCTTGGGCGTGGTGTTCAAGTTCGGCAGCCCCCGCTTGGAGGCCTCGATGGGCCACTCCGCCGAGTAGCCGTTGCCCGTGAAGATCACGTGCTTGTTCTCCTCGCAGATTTATGTATATATATATATATATATATGTATATTTGTATATTTGTATATCAAAAAAAAGAACAAAGACATGTGACATGCGGCCGTGGGTCAAAATCCAAACCAGTTAGCCCCCAGTGAACATCAAAAAAATCCAACCACTAAAGTAGGTTCTACAATGGGTGGTGAATTCACCTACCAACCAAAATGGGACCTTATTGGTTTTCACCCACAGCCAGGTACATGTCTATCTAGTTCACCCGCGCCCATCAAACGGTTTCCGATGTGAGTGAGACAACTCGAAGAGTCAGCCCCGGCCCCGGCGTTCAGCTCCAAATCCCAAGCTCCACGCGCACCGCATCAATGGGATTGGATTGGATTGTTCTCGGCGTTTTGAGTGCCTTTTTCGGTGGGCTGCTCTGCAGGCAGTTTTTGGTCCAACTGGTTTCTTCGCTGGCCTGTGGAAGCACCAGCATCGACCTTTTTTTTTCCGCGCCCGAGTCAAATTTCTCTGCCTTGTACATCTCGGCCACGGCGTCCCGGTGGCTCTTGCCCCCCTCGATCTTCGCGGCCAGCTCCGCCATGCCCGCACTCATCACGGCATTGCAGACCATCACCGGCAGGCAGCAATTCTGCGAGGAGCCCACCGCGCGGAACCTCAGGAGTCAAGTGGCGAAGTGGAGTGGAGGAGTGGAGGAGTGGAGGAGTGGAGGTTTAACTAGGAGTCCCGTCGCTTGGAAACCTCTCTTTGAGGGTTTGGCGAGACAGCGAACGGGAGCAATGCGTAGAGGGCAACCGATCAACCGTTACTCTGTTACTCTGTGATCACACCTAAGCAAGTCCAACCTGCAAACCGATAAGCAAGGGCTCGTGTGTTTTGAGGGCACCCCGGTCACCTTGGTTTCAAGGGAAAACCAACAGGCCATGTGATCGGTCCCCAATTTGGATATCCTCCCTCCCACTAACATGGCACCTATGGGGAGGTACCTGGTAGATGAATTTCCTCTTGAAGGGACCCCCTGTCAGGTGCCATGTTGGTGGGAGGCAGGGTACATCTAAAAGCTCCAGGCAAGGGCGCTCGAAGCGGTTGCCGCAGAAGGGGAAGGGCGCGGTACGGTTGCGGTCCTCCACGTTGGCCTCGATGTGCATGGCGGCCGAGCAGCCCGTCTCCTGAAAGCGACCCTCTGCTGCTGAAAGCACGGACGCGGCAGAGTTCAAAGAAACTCTGGGGTTCCAAAAGCTTTGCAAAGAAAGGGTGTCCGTGAAGGCCATTGTTTTCTTGAGAGAAGATGACAGCTTGAGGCACCTTCGTTTTCATACTCTTTGACTTCCATGCTGACATAGTCAAATTCGAGGCAACTGAGCTGATGGTGATGGTTGCTTGACGCCTTGACACAGTCATATCCGTATCCTTCATAATGGAGATGAGCCACAAAGACTACTACCTACCTCTCCTATTTGTCTTATTCTGCTTTGCTTGGTTGCCCGAGAACAACAATGGGTACAAAGCAGGGAACCGGGGTTTTCGTCAAGCTTGCAGTCGCGCTTCCCTCTTTCATAGTAACGTGGTATATCTCAACCGCTAATCAAGGCGCTGGTTCATTGCCCTCGCCAAGCAAAAGGCAGGATGTCCGGAGTGCAAGCGATCACAAGGCAGCAAAGCTCAAGTCAAAATGCCGGAATTCGGTAGGCATGTTGAGTGCGTGCCTGGGTGTCCAACAAATGCTCGCCGATGGTTTTGCTCGTTCAACCGAGCAAAACCCATCGGCTCGTGGGGGCAGAAGCCTGGCTGCATCACGGTTTCAAACCAAAACGTTTGTACTCGAGCACGCTTGAAGAAAATACAGGCCTGGCAGCAAATTTACATGGAACCAGTATCTCAGGCAAGTGGCGCTACTGCGAATCCTTCACCAGTCAGTAGATGGTTTATCGGGACCAGTCTTCGCAGGTTTCATCCCAACTGGTGCGGGGTTTTGTCCATCCACCGTAAGACGGAAAGCCCCCAGACTTGCAAGCGACGCTGTGCGACATCTGGCCCAACGACGTGCCAATCCAAATCTGGAATCGATGATCCCGCGATTGATCAACAAGTGGGCTCCCATTAGTTACTTGCTTACTTGCTTGCTTGCTTACTTGCTTACTTACTTATTTACTTACCTACTTACTTACTTACTTAGTTACTTACTTAGCTACTTACTTAGTTACTTACTTACTTACTTTCTTACTTACTTACGGCCTTACCTACTTATTTGCCCGCTTGCATGCTTGCATGCTTGCTTGCTTGCTTGCTTCCATGCTTGCTTACTTGCTTGGGGTTCCGGCAAGGGTGAGGGATGCCACAGGGGGTGCTACACATCACCAGCAGCGCCTGCACGTCCAAACGCTGAGATTCTGGACGGCATGATTTGACACGAAGAACAAGAGTTAGGTGTTGCCCGACTTAGGCAAGGTTGCTGAGTCTTGCAGGACCATTATTTGTCCATATTGTCCGACCTGCAGTGGCAACTACAAAGCAAAATGGAACAGAGTAGAAACCATCAACTGCTTTCAGCTGGCAATGTAGGTTAACCCAAATTGGGTTCGAACATGAGTTCTAGCATGCTACACACATTGCCCTTTGATGAAAACCGATCGCAACCCGTCTGCCTAGACCCCGTTGAAAACGGCGTCTCTTTCGACAAAAGCAAAAAAAAAGCAACTTGAGTCTCCTGCTTCTTCTTCTCCGCCTTGTAGCCCAACAGGTCTCCGCCGGCCACGATGCTCTCCACGTGCTGCTCGAATCCCTGGCCCGGGTACCTCACGCATCCCGCACGGCCGGTTCGCCCCGTTTTGCCCCGTTTTGCCGCGCGGGGCCGGTGGCGGTCTGCTTTATTTTTTCCCTTCGCGCCTGACGAGATCGAGAACTCGGCCGTCATGTAACAAACTTTTAGCGAAAGAGCAGCTGCTGATTTTGTGATCGGTTAGACCAAAACGGTGATACTTCAGCTTGCATTCAGGGCCCTGAGCATTCCACCCAAAGCTGCAGGAGGGAACAAACCCCCAATAACTATAGCCTGTACAAGGTCTTGGGTTGGCTGCTGCTCACCCCCCAACCCGTCAGACCTCCCAACCATAGCGCACGGACCACTGCCCCAAGCAAAAGGCTCGCTGATTCTCCGAACTAGGTCCTCCAGTAGAGAGGATAGAATCAGGGTACCCTTTTTTTCTGTAGTCTACTGTACTAGGGGGTTCCCCCTCCCAACCAAAAACAAAGGAAGAAGAAGGGCACCTAACTATATAGAAAACCTTGCTGAAACCTGAAATGGCCATGGGTCAAAATCACGTACCCCCAGTGAACATCAACCCTGCCAACCAAAATGGGATCCCAAAAAGGTTTTGACAAAACCCACAGCCAGGTTTTCTCAATCTCTTGCTTTCCCATCCACATCCGCGCCGAGAAAACCCGCATCCGAGGCGCAGGGAGATGATGGCCGGCGGGGCCTCCTGAGCGCCCAGGCGGTGGTCATTGCCCGAGTGCGCCACGGTGCAGCGCACCATCTCCTCGGCAGCCGAAGCCACGGGACGCGAAGACCAAAATGGGTTGCCCTGTGGAAACATGGCGTAACCTCTCCTGTTTGATCTTGAGCCACACCCAGATGCCCCAGCTCCATGTCCCCATGGCCAAAAAAAAGTTCGGCCCTTTCAAAAAGGCAGCCTTTCAAGTCGTTGATGTCCATTGGCCAATTTTGCCTGTTCCAACCCTGTTGCCGGAACATCTGCGCCTGTTTTCCACACCACGGAAACGCCTCGCGACCGGCCAGGTCGCGTTGTACTGCGACAGGCCATAGGCCAGGCAAGCGATGGCGGTGACATAGAGCTTGGCGCCGGCCTCCGAATCATGAACGCCATGACATGCGCACGGTAGCCCTCATGCGATCGAGGCTGCTGTTCACTTGGTTGCTGCAACGACCCCCCTGCAAAAGGTCGGGAAAACCCAACTTGATTTCCCAAAAAGTGAAAGTCTAAAGATCCAACCCAATAGCAGTCAAGTTCATGTTGACAAAGCCCGTGGCGCGATACTCTTCACTTTGTGGCAAGCGCATTCATCATCTAGAAAGGATATTCTGGGCACTCAGGATGGTGGCGGTCACTATGTTGAAAATAATGAAGTTCGGTTTGGGGAGGATCCTGCAAACACCTGCGAATATCGGATGGAAACACTACATCCTAGATTTGCACACGAAAACCAGGTAAGCACCTCGTTTTACGAGCAAATAGCACGACCCGGATGGCAAGAGACTGGCTTTACCTCACCTGTGGCTCACGGATCACTCTTTTGTGGTGAGCTTTACCTTGTAACAATGCGATTCAAGACCTTGCCGTGGGTGATCCACTTCGTCCGTGCATGGCTAATAAACCACCTGACCAACTGACAGTCGGAAAGAAACAGGCTGGAAAGCTTGAGCCCAAGCCACAGAAGTATGCCCTGAAAGGGACCCATCTTCCATCAAGCCTCTTCGGTTTTGGCTTCTTGGATTGTCCAAATCTCTGCTCAGAAATGCCATCGACGTCTTGGAGCCTCGGTCTTGCCGGGGTAGAAGAAGTTCATGCCCGTGTCGGTGCCGATGGACCAGTTGGCGTGCTTGCCGCTGCCGTTAATGCCGGCGAAAGGCTTCTCATGGAAGAGCACCTGGCGGAAAGCGGCGCCTTCATGCAGGAGATCTGGCTCCAGCGAAGTGACATCCAACATACCCCCCGAACTGGTGGCTTAAAGGGAACCACCCCCAGCCCGCCTTCTCGGATTGTTGCATCATCTCGCCAAGAAGCAAAGCGGGGAAAAAACACGCCCGAGGAGTGCCGCCTGCCTGAAATGCCACTTGCCCCAGGCCGGGCCACACACTGGGCTGCCCGCTAAAAGCTTAACTTTTTGTGGTTTCAATGGAAACTACCACTAAACACTAAAGGATCTAAAAAGCTAAGGAACCGGATGGCTGGGAGCCACTAAGACTTGTGGGCGATTTTATCATGGCAGTCGTTTCGAAAGATGCGGCAACCGATCGGAGCGCCCCGCTGAGCCCCCAAGACATGCCCGATCCCGGCCTGCAATCCCAGCTTGGCCGCCTCCCGATTCATCACCTGGCGTTTAAACCGGGCGGACGGTCAGAAGGTCCGAAAGCAAACGCTACCCTCTGACATGATGAATAGAGAGCATGATCAAGGAACTGCTTTTTCATAACGCTTGGTCTTGTGGCGCTGGCTATTGAAAACAAGGGAGGCCACTAGACAAAGACGCTCACAACCTGGAACCTGGACATTGCTCTTCAATCTAGTCCAGGCTCATCCGTCCAAATGAGCCTGATCCACAAAACCCGTGCGTGGACAAATTTCCCACTGGTCGGGTTGGGTGAATGTGGTTAGTGGTTGAAAGACGTTGGTCAGCCCCCTTGAGTGAGTGGTAAGGAAGGGCAAGGCCTATTTTGCAGACTTACCAAACACTGGCTACTCGACATGAGGTCTACTCTCGCTGGCCAACCTACACAGCAAGTGTTGGCGCTGCGGCGAGCCGTTTCTCATGGTAGGTCAAAAGAACGAGCCCATCCCAGTGTGTGACTTTGATAGCACCCCACAACCATAGGTGTCCTTTTAGGGCAAATAGATGGCCCTGGTAGATAATAAACCACCAGGTAAACCAGGGCCATCTATTTTTCTACCAAAACACCAAAAAGGACACCTTCGCCCATAACAGTCAGAATACAACTCCCTCGGCAATTTTCGCCCAAAGCTCCCAGAACATCTCACAGATTAGAAGCTGCGCAAACAGACAGGACCTAGCAACGGTATTGGCACGAATGGCGGTGCCGACCCCAGAAGCATCGACCCCAGGGTTTTTTCGTAATCCCGGGTTTCCATGAGTCGATGCGGGATTCTCTCCAGCTAGTGTGAACCCCCCAAACTCAGTGGCTTCCTGTTCACTGTTCATGTTCAACCAGAAGAAAACACCCTGTTTGAGGAGAACCCTCAAGATAAATCTCACACACCCATGCGGATATCATGTCCCGTCGCGTTGCAAACCCCAACCTCCATAAAGAGCACGTTGGAGTCGCAGGACACGTTGGCGGTGCGGAAGACTGGGGACATCTCGTGCTGGCCCGGAGCCACCTGGCAACTCAACTTCGGGACCCTATCGAGCCCCACGCCCAAAAAGAATGGGGAAGGTTTCCTGAAGAGGACATAGGGATCCCGTAAAAGGAAACCACAACAAAGCGTGTGTTCCTATGCTTGGCTGGAAGTCGGCCATCCGAACGTTTCTCTTTTCGGACAAGAAGGGATTGCTTCAGTTCGATTCCCGGAAATATCTTGCCCATCTGTCAGGCAATGGGCTCCTCCTCGCAAGCAGCCAGCAACAACACCCGCAAACCCCCCCCCAAAAAAAAAATCAAACAAGCATAGACCCCAGATAGCACAACCCCCCCCCCCCACCCCCCAAACAAAAAAAAGAAAGAAGAACAAAATGTGGAAAGCTTTTGTTGAAACATGCTTGAACCACTCGTGAAACAACCACAAGGGTTTGCCATAGATAATCGCTTGCACGTGCCGGGTGCCAGGTGGCTCTGTGAACTCGGTTGGGCCAACCCCTTCTCATCTTAGGTGGCCTTTTGGAAAAATAGATGGGTTTCCCTGGCAAATGGAACAAAACCCATCTAAACCAGTGCCATCTACTTTGTTTAACCAGGCTCACCTAAAAAGGACACCAAACCAATCTCATCTCTACATCATTGTTCCAAGAGCCTTTGGGTCCTTTTCCCTCACGCCTCGTTGTGCTTCACGGCCATGGGGCACCCCACCTTCAGCATCTCCGCCTGCGCGATGTCCAGCAGCTGCGCCACCTGGCCGGGTCAGCGGCCGAAATTCGGGGCATCGCAACCGGCCATGGCTTGCATAGGTTATGTGCGATCAGCCATTTTGGGGTACATGAACATCCAATGTGCCACCGGTTTTTTTTTGGATGTTCACCAGGGGCTTCCTGGGGGTGTGAGTGACCCACAGCCAAACGGCCGAAGAGAAGCCAAAGGGGCCAGCCGAAAAAGCCCTCCCTGGACCAAGGCTCCGCAAACGGCCCTTTCGTCCATGTCCTTTTGGAAAAATGGCTGGCCCTGCGACGGCCAGCTGGGTTGTCCTCCCGATGAGAATGGGACACCTCCAGAGGGTGTGGTGTACTTTTGGAATTGGATGGGGTCTGGTAAATGGCCATGAGTCAAAATCCCGTACCCTCAATGAACATCCCCATCGCCACTAAAATAGACTAAAATGGGTGGTGCACCTACCCCAAAATGGTGCCAATGGTTTTGAGCCACAGCCAAATGAAAAAGGCAACAAACCCCATGTACAAGAGCACCTGACGTCTTGTGGCATGGTTTCTCGACTCCACCCGGGCTGAGTGCCAAGCTGAGTGGCGAGGGGGGGGGGGGGGAGGGTGGCCCCAGCTTCCAACATCGGCACGCGGCAGACTCGACCGACTCCGCCCGCCTTTCCTGGGACGGGCTGGAAGTAGTTGAGGTCCCCCTGCTGGTGCCTCACGCATGGTTGGATTTCCAGTCGCTCCTAAAATTTCCCTTGGAAGGGCACCAAGCACAGGGTGGGGTGGGCTCTCAAGGAACAAGACCACCTTCTTTTTTTCCGGTGAGTGGGTTCCGCATTTTGCCATGTTCAGATCAGCCTTGCCCAGCATGATAGACAGTTCGAGCCAGATGAGGATTGTAATGGCAGACTCCCATCCAAGCGCTACGAGTAGAGATACTTGCCATGACCCCAAATTGGCGATCACTGGCCAGAGAATACATCTGGTTTAAAAAGGACCGTGTGGACCAAAACCCGCCGGTTGGCGAAGAAAAACTGGTCAATCTGCCAGTGTTCCTCCAAGGCGCCGTGTGGGCAACTTGCCAAAGAGGGTGCGGCCAGTGTTCACCAGGTCCGGCCGAGCCTTGTAGCTCTCGGCGCTCAGCACGAAGAACCTGGTTGACGTCGCCCCTTTGATCTCGTTTGGATCGGTGTCTCGAATTGAAAGCTTGGATTGGCGATTTACCATTTGCCCTCAGGAACCAGGAAAAAAAGACTAAAAACATCAAAGCCTCCATCCAAGGGTTACCTGAGAAGACCAGTTGGTGCACGTTGAGGTTGAGCAGCAGCTTCAGTGTATGGGGGAGAGAGAGAGAGAGAGAGAAAAAAAACAGAAAAAAGCTTGCTGAGCCAAGAGGCGCCCTTCGAATGAGAAACTATTTGGGTGTGGTTGTCAAACATAGGCCTGGTAAATGGAAACAAGGACTACAATCTGCGGTCCATTTCCTGGTGGTTTAATTTTCACCCATACCCATTTGACTTTCTGTTTCTTCTTTGTTTCGGGTGGGTCCTGTTCTTCTGGAGGGGTCAAATGTTGCACCTTGCCGCGGCTTCATCAATATGTCGTGGCTCGTCCTAGAGGTTGGGTTCAGGAGGTTCACGGGTTTCGAGTTCAAGGGTTGATTTGGGGTGTGTTTTGTGTTTGGGGTGTTTGTTTTTTTGTTTTGATTTTGGGCTTGGCTAATGTTCGGCTGAATGGCGTAGAGGTGATCCGCGGCTTGGAGTGTCGAGTTGGTGATTCGCGTGGGAAGGTCGGTTGGGGGTCGGAGGGTCGGTTTAGGGTAGAGTCAGGTGAGTTTAGAGCGGGCTCCGGGCGGGCTGTCGGTTTGGTTTACATTGAGTTTAGGGCGCAAGGTGGGTTTACTTTGAGTGAGACTGGGATTCTTGTTGGTTGCATTGTTGGAAAGGTTTAGGGTGGCTTTGGGGTTGGTTTAAACTTGGCTGAGGATGGGTTTTAGGGCTGGCTTAGGGTGCCCTGAGTGTGGCCAAACTATCAGCAAGTCGATGTCACATCGCATGGCCAAAAGGGCACAAACACGCAACAAAAAGGAGACTCAAGGCCCGTTGGTTTTGAGTGACAAGAAAACAAACATCCCCGAAACCCCAACAAAAAAAGGCTCATCTTTGTTGCGCCGAGGCACTCCTGCTCCCAGCCCAGATAGCTGTGCATGGTCTTGGCATCTGTGCCGATGCCAATCGCCTCTGTACCAGAGGTTCAGAGAGAGAGAGAGAGAGAGAGAGAGAGAGAGAGAGAGAGAGAGAGAGAGAGAGAGAGAGAGAGAGAGAGAGAGAGAGCTAGAGAGAGAGAGAGAGAAAGACATATATACATATGTATATATTAATATATATATATATATTATGTGGAGAGTTTCAAATGAGAGGAATGTGGCGCAAGAGTAGCCTTTTCTTGTTGAATGCTTTCCAAATGCCAAACGTACAAATTGGGGGGGCAATGCAATAAGATTTGGAGATAGCACCCTTGGTCAATTTGAAAGGATGGTTGCAACCCAAACAAACAGCGCCAGCCACTCGCTGTGCGGTCAATCCACTTGGTGGTTTCCCCTGGCGTCGCATAAGTCTATTGGCTGTCAAGGGCCCCCGAGTCCCAATAGACAGGCTTGAAAGCGACATGCATGAGCAAGCTGCGTTGATCTCTCTCCGCCCGTTGCCCCACACTGTGATTGTTCACCTCAAACCGACATGGCTCCAAATGCTCGCATTCGCAAAAAGGAGAAGCCCTCTCAAATGCGCCTCCGGCGTCCTAAATGTAGGTCTGACAATCTAGGTCGATGGCATAGATCAAAAGGATTTCGGGAGAAAGCCATCTGACTTAACTGATTGAATGGCTTGATTTGCCAGCCAGCCATCGAGGAATTCAACATCACTCTAGAGGCCACTTCCAAAAATCATCTCAACCACTGCAAAGTTCTATGCTGGCCTGAATCGCATCTTAATGCTGCTAAACGTTTAAACCGAGAGTTAGTGGAAGTGCTCTGGAATTTGTGCAAATTGGGGATCCTCGGCAGCATCTCTTACCTGACTGGTCACATGTTGAGGACATGATCCGACAAACTGTCATCCACCAAGCAGTTGGGAATGAAGTGACCTGGTTGGCAAAGTCTGAATACATCTGTACAAGTGGGTAACAGATTACCTCCTAGCAACGCATGCATTTCCTCGAAAGGGTGGAGTTGCCGGAAAGGCAAACAAAAAAACACAAAGAACATACAGCTGGAAGTCGTTGAATCTGCCCTTCGACATGAGTTGGCACATCTCTGAGGCGTGTTCCACTCGCTGCCCGACGGACTATGCAAGTTCGCATCGCTCACGAATCGTAAAAGGATGCAGGACATCTAGGTCCTCCAGATTTGAGAGCTGAGAATAAGGGTACCCGATTTTCTCTCTGTAGTCTATTTTAGTAGGGGAACCCTCCCCCAAAAGAGGGAGAGAAAGGGCACTACTGGGGGACCTAGACATCTTTACAACATCGCCTTTTTCACTGCCATCTGTGCACTTCTTCACGGCAGATTCCGGGATTCACGAAACCCTATGAATACCCCAATGAACCGCCCACCTACCAACTGGTGCGAGGATTTGACCCATCCACAGAAGTTTCCACAGGGTCATGTTTCGTCATGTTGTACGGCTTGGCCTTTTGGGGGATCTGAAATTAAATGCATCTGAAGATACGTCCACTCCCCCGAAACCGCGAGCTCATGGGTTTTATAGGCCAAAAGGCCGCCCCAAACTCCGGCACCAAAACCGTTCGGCTTCCCTTCCTTTTCATGCGCCGTGCGAGCACCTTCAGCAGGCGCAGGCCGCTCTGCTTCACCGCATCCATGGACCGCAGCAGAGGCGTCTTCTCATCGATGCACTTGCCGAAGTGGGTAACAAAGGCCTGAGCTCCGTTCGTTGGTCATTGGCTTGAACAAGACCCAAGTCGTGCCCCTTAAATGAAACGGATACCAAAAGGAGCCTGCCTAACCCCCATAAAGAAAAACAGTGATGGTCAAGCAAAAATCGTCCAAAGCTTCGCCAAAAGGGGATGTGAAAATTACTGCTCTTGGAAAACAGTAAAACTTGGTCAGGTGCCCATGTGGCCCTCTAAAAGCCCACGAAGCCTTTTTTTCTGAGCCAAGCAGAACCCACAGAAAGCCCTCTACGAACAGCCAACCGCCGGAAATTTCCCGTGGTTTCGGTTTTGGGCACTAGCCACATGCAATGCCAAGCACGAGAGGCTCGCAGCACAGGAGTCAAATCTTACGCATACAAAATGGTTCAACATCAAGTCAACAGCATGGACAGTCAGGCTGTTGGGTGACTCTGCAACTGGAAACCCGACCAATGAAAGGCTGATTTTAGCAGGCCTTTAGCTTGTCACCTTCTGGTTTTACCCAGCTCGCAACAAACAGATTCGACGTCTGTGGATGATGGAACTACGAAATAGATGGATGTATACATGCATAATACATTAGGCACTATCATTCCGGCCTATGATACTTGGCAGAAATCGACAGGCACATGATCTAGTCGTGGACAAAAAGTGTGATGACGACAATAACAAGAATGGGCCGACGCGTGGCCCAAAATCACTAGGATTGTGTCTAACCAAAACGAGGCCAACAATCCCAGCCGACCCATCTGTGTTGCATCTGTCTGCGAATTCTTGCTCTGTCACCTCCTCATGGCAATTCCAGTCTCCTTTCGGCGGTTTCAGCCAACTCGCTTAACGAGATGCAAGGACCACAAACATCTGAGATGAACTGGAATCCTTTCTCACCCCGGAATCTCCAGCGGAGACAAAAAAAAAACAAACAAAAGCGAAACCTGACAGCTGCCTAGTGCCCAGACCTCTCCGCCTGCTTCTGCCAAGATGGTCACATGAACAGCTCTTTGTTAGGGCCTGCAATAAGCAAACAACCCAGGGCAAAGATTTGCAGCCCAAGCATAAACCGACAGAGACCCATGGATCGGACTGGCTGTGGCCCCAAAATGGCGCCTTGGTACATAGAGACAAGGCCAAAACCTGCGTAACCCCAACCTTTTACATTTGAGCCACACCCATGTGGGATTTCATGTCCACTTTTCAGGTGGCTCCCTCTCTCCGCCCTGGCATTGGCCAACCTCCGACATCCGAGGTGCGCAGGGGATGTAGAGGCACTGGTCCAGCACGAAGGGCGGCGAGGCGCGGTCCCAGGTGGTGAAGGCCGCCGCAGAGTGGGTCACTCGCAGCCCCCCGTTGGGGAAGGAGGACCCGTCCGTCTCCCCCTGCGGCATGCGACGGGGAAACCCCCGCATTTGAAGAAAGGCGCCTTTGCGCGCCATCGATTCGCTCCAATTGTCTTCAAGGTCTGCGCCTCGCTTTTTGAAGCGCTCTTTGGGCTATCTAGCGCCAGGGGACACGCTTTTCCATGTGTTCTCGGTGACTCGTACCACACCTCCAAAGCAACTAATGCTTTGCTCAGGGACTTGGTTGCCTTTTTTGGCCCAAGGTCCCAACACCTTTGGAGGACCTCCAAAAAGCGGCAATCAGCGGCAAAAAAAAACGGCGTTCCAGCGGCCGACTCGGCCTGGAACAAGCGCTCGTGGGGCAGGCAGGCCTGGAGAAAGGTCGCACAGTCAGTTCAAGGAGACCAAGGGCACTAAACCAAAAGCTCTGTCCGGGTTGGTTTGCATTCTTTGCGCGCATAGGGTTTGAGTGGGTTTGCATCGTGGCCCTCTTGGTATGAAGAATTGCTACTTCTTCCGTGGGGTTACTGGATGTTCGTCTTGCACAATGACTGACAAAGCACAAGTGGCCTTGTTCATCCAGAGCCCACTCACCCATGTTCTGGTCCATCCCTGAATGCCAGGTTACCCTCGACACTAAATGGACTTAGACAGCCTGGGCCATCTAAGAAAGCCAAACAAAGACCACGACTCAGCTTGCATGCTTCAAAAGACGGTTTCGAGTTCAGTGCCCAATACAAAAGAAGGAACCAAGTGTCAAGAAGCATCCCAAAAAACGTCTCTCACAAAACCCATTGCATTCTTTCCGCTCCCCTCCCCGCTCCCCTTCGCCGGTTTTCGACACGCGACTCGAAAATGCGGATCGGTGTGGCGCCTTCATGGGCTTGGTCACGAACTTGGAGCCGAACTCCAAGTCCTTGGCCCCAGAAAAACGAGAGAATCCGGAAGTGGAGGTCCCTCGCAAAAAAGGGATCCTTAGGTGGTTTCCCTTGATGTTGGTGTTGAAAAAGCAACATGTTTCAAATGGTTGCAACATGTATCTTTTAAGGAGCCCTCGCAAAATTTTGGCAGGTTTCCTCAAGTCGGTTGGTGTCCTGAAAATGTGTGCTTCGAAATGAAGTGGGGGTCAAACAAACTGATAGGATTTCCTGTCCCTCCCTTTGCAAAGGGCACCCTCCCTTTTCAAACGAACGGATGGAAAGCCCCGTACTGGAGAAAAAAAGCCTGGGAGATGGGAGGGCTCCATCGGGAGGCCCCTTTTGCAGGGCTCGAAAGATCTTTCGGGCAACAGCCAGCACTCTAGCGGTTGAAATTCCTTTTCCATTCTCTTCAACCATCGTTCTTTCCAAAAACCGGATCCGTTTTTCCTGGGCTTCCGGAGGTTGTCTAGAAAGAAGGATCCCTGGAAAGAATGGAAATGGAAGGTACCCCGAAAAGCACTGGAAGTGTGAGTGGCTCTCCCAACAAAAGATGAGAACCAAAGAACAGAATATCAACCTTGAGAACCGTGCAACAGCTCCTACCGCCAAGCCGCTTCACTACCCTCAGAGGTTTTGTGGGAAAAACAACCACTACGTAGCCACTAAGAGAACACGGTGAACATGTGATCAAGGCTGGGACCTGACAATTGCCATATCGCATGCAACACAAACAGAAGACGGCTCACGCGGCAGTCTTCAAGTTGCGGCTTTGTTTGCCAGCAAAGTGAGGCTTCTTTGAAACAACAAATGGACATGTATGTTGACTCTGCAGCAACGCGGTGTGATGGAGAGTGTATGTAGCATGGCAATGAGGCGCACAAATCAGGGAAGGAGTAGCATGAATCATGGTAGTCGTTGGTCCTCCGAAGCGGCTTTTTCAGAATGTCAGGACACCTCACAGGGAGTAACTGCAACAAGTGAAGAATCAAAGTATCTCCATCTAGTGCTATGATTACACAGTACATGTGAGTGTCTAAGCTGCTGCTAGCTTGTGTCATGGCCGGCTGCGGCAAAAACACGCAGCAAAGCAACAAGAATGTTGAAAGAGGCGGTTGAAAAAGGCGGTACCCTCCGTCTGTCGCCTACATGTTCCAACCCAACTACAATAACCCAACCACAAAACTTGAAGTACTTGAAACACTTGCAATAGTTGAAATACAAGAACCTGAACCACCCACACAACCCCCCCCCCCCCGGCTTCCCCACGCCTCTTGCTGGTACAGCTGCAAAAATCCCCAAGCATCCCCCCAAAGGCTTTTACGGCAGGGAGAGTTTGGGCGGTCTTCGGAGTAGTCTTTGCAGGAATGCAGGCATGCCGGCGTATACGCACGCACGAGTGCACGTGTGTATGCACTTATCTACATGTACGTGTGATATACGGACTAGCAAGTCCACAGCTCACAGGCACACGGCGAAAAACACAACCATGCGCCACTGCAAACAACGCGAGCGGGCTGATCTGGGCAGGAACGATCATGCCCATCCGGAAAGCAGGGTGGGGGGGGGCCAGAATGGCTTCTCTCCCTCGCCAGGTTGCGATGAGGGTGTCTTTCTTAAAGGCGCCCAGCATGCCGCCCACAGCGCCACCCCCGCCACGGAGAGGGAAGAACCTCGGTACTTCACGGCTCTGCTCTCTTTCCAACAAAGGGTGTTTCCTAGGACGGTTGCCTTCCAAGACCCTTGGGATTGTCAGTTCCATCAAGTATGACACGTCGCCTGATCCGATGTGTTGAACCAGTGTATTCTGGCAGAGCTGTTCCTTTTCCCCATGTTTTGTCTCATTGTTGGCCTTCAGTCATCAGCTTCTGCCACGCCAGCTGCGATCGGATCAAGTGGTCCAAATCCCCACCAGCAGCCGCGACATCGGGAAAACCGCCAAAATCCGGAAGTTGGATTCTTCAGAGTGGGAAGATCTCCTAGTCCATGACTCGCAGTGGGATACCACTGCAACAAGAAAGATGCCGCACCAAATCCCCGGGTGCTACGTGAGTGCCGCTTCGGGGCCAGTGCGCGAAGTCGATGGCACCTCGCTCCCGGGCCCAGGTGAACATGGTGTCTGCAATAACCTGCGCGAGCCACAAGAACGCATGCATGGATGCCCGCCGGTGGAAATCACCCGTTCGGGGACGCAACAATGGGCCGCCGCATGACTGCTCTCTTGATGCTCGGTCACCTTTGTGGGCTTGTGCTGAAGTCACGTCAAAAGGATGGTTGGGTCCAGCGAAAACCACCGGGAAGCTACCCATTTTGGGGGGTCCCAAGACACTCTCAAGTGGCCATCGCCTTCTGGTCATCCTCAAGGGTGGGAGCGCCCGTGATGAGGCACCTGGGAAGTGAAGCGGGTTTGGCTTTCCCGTGGTTCCTCTTTTGGCACCTATTTTTGGCTTCTGCCCTTTGGGATTCCTTTGGCTTGACTTTGGGCTTCCTTTGGTTTGACTTTGGGCTTCCTTTGGTTTCCTTTCTCTTTGCTTTGGATTGACTCTGGGTTGCCTGTGCGGCACCCCCTTTTGGAGGACTTTTCCTTTGGTTTCTCGATGAGATTGCCCAAAAAGGGCACCGTCTGAAAAAGGCGTCGGTCCCCCTCACGGTCTTTGCCACGTCTAGTCCTTCCACATGATGATTCGAACAAAACACGCCGGGCTCGCTCAGCAACTGCCTCAATGTCGTCAGCTCTGTTTCCCTAAAGCAAGCCACCGATTCAGCGAAAAAAAGAACGCCTGTCGTGCAAACTGGTCACGAGGATTCATGTCTGCAACGGTCAATATGCAGGATCATGCCTGCCATGAAACCCTTGCACGATCAGGCAAAACCAGCTGAGGATTGTAGAAATTCATCAACCTCGTGGATCCCAAAAGTCAATGATTGCCTTCAAAATCGGACACCCCCTATAACGAATCAACCCAGGATTGATTCATCTGGACTCCCACTGGCCGTTCCTCGCAAACGGCTCAACGGCAGACTTGGACAGCGTGGATCCTATCACAGATCCCTTGTCAAAGGCTCAATGAATGTGTGAATCCCTGATATGAACCCCTGTTATCACCCCCAGGAATGAACCCATGGGCCTGATATGAACCCCAATTCTTATTGCTTAGTGTCCTTCTTTAGGCACCAGGGTTTAACATGGCCAGGGGTTCAGAAATGGACGCTTGAAATAATTTACATTGGTAATTGTGTCAGGGCCCCTCCAAACACCCCCTCGCGTCAAGGCCTTATTTTGCCTGGTATTTCGTTGCATTTGGCCTGATATTTGATCTCATTTGGCCTGCTACTTGGTCTTATTTGGCCTGTTGTTTGGTCTTATTTGGCCCCTTGTTTGGCCATATTTGGCCGCAACGTATTACGGCTTACTAATCGCTAGCCCTCGGGGCAAGGGGGCTTTGAAAAAGCCAGCGTCTGTACGATCCCTGACTGTTTCCACCAACCATACTTGTTGGGGTCCCTACTAAGTACTACTAAGTAAAAATTATTTGCATGTCTCACATGTTTCTCAAAATTGACGGACCCCTCCGTTGGTTTCCTTTGAAACGGGGCTGCGTCTTGAGACAAACCCAGGCGACGTCATAAGCAAGCAGCTCTGGCAAAAAAACAAAAAAGAAAAAGCAGCCTCAGTTGAAGCCAACCCCCATCCAAACCAAACCAAACCAAACAGGTGCCAAGGGCAACACCTGAGTTCTCAGTGCCTCACCTCCCCCTCAACCTGCAAGTACCCGACGTCCCGTCCACCCAACCACCCGTCCACCGGGGCGCTCGTTGAAGCGCTGGACCACCGCGCTGGGCAGCTTCTCGGCCATCACCGCCTCAGGCTGCCACGAGATGGCCCAGATGGATATGGCCATGGGTCAAAAGCCCGGTACCCCAGTGAACATCCCAACCCAACCACTAAGATAGGTTCTAAAATGGGTGGTGCACCGAAAACCCAAAAATGGTACCATTGGTTTTGACCCACGGCCATATGGGTTAAAATTGAACCAACAGGAATTGGACCGCAGGTTTTAGTCCATGCTTCCATTTGCGAGGGCAAGCCATCTTGAGGCTACCCTAATGGGCATGACAAGGGTGTGGCTCAAGATTAACCAGCTTTGGGGGGTCCATGGTTCCACTTACCAACGTTCCATTTTGGCACCAGTCTTTTGAGCCACTGCCACAAAGGGAAGAGTGAGGTGCCGGACTTCACGAAGGTTGGGGACCGAAAAGAGGAGAATGTTGCCGGCTTCTGTCCGACCAGTGGCAAGTGCTGCCAGCTGGGAATACTGGGTGGTTTTAAATGGGTTCTGGCAATGGGTTCTAGAGAAAGGTTTTCAGTTTTGGTTCACAACCAGTTTGGGCAGGATTTGTTGAAGGGACAAAGACTAGAAAGATAAATAACCATAATAATAAAGTTGTAGATTAAAAAATATATGAATTTCCTAGATTCTAAAGTTTACAATAACTAATAAAAAGATAGGAAAAAGAATATTGGAAAGAATCATAAAATAATATGAATATTGTTGTTTTATATTTTTTCGGGTTCGACAAAAGGGGGACACCAACAGCAGAATCTTGTTCTCAGTGCCTGATGTTTACTGTTCAGCATGAGATCCCCGGAGGGAACGCTCTCTTGACCAACACGGAGGGAACGCTTGAACTTTAAGCCAAGCTGAAAGGGCCAAACACAGACCCACACGCACACGCACACACACACACACACACACACACACACACACACACACACACACACACACACACACACACACACACACACACACACACACACACACACACACACACACACACACACACACACACACACACACACACACACACACACACACACACACACACACACACACACACACACACACACACACACACACACACACACACACACACACACACACACACACACACACACACACACACACACACACACACACACACACACACACACACACACACACACACACACACACACACACACACACACACACACACACACACACACACACACACACACACACACACACACACACACACACACACACACACACACACACACACACACACACACACACACACACACACACACAAACACACACACACACACACACACACACACACACACACACACACACACACACACACACACACACACACACACACACACACACACACACACACACACACACACACACACACACACACACACACACACACACACACACACACACACACACACACACACACACACACACACACACACACACACACACACAAACACAAAAACACACAAATGCGTTGCATCTGCATCCGGCCCGCATCGTCGAACATCCAATTGCCAAGGCCGGTGAGAGCATCCGCCATGGCGATAGGAGGGAAAACAGGGGATAGATGCGGAAATGGCAACTGGGCAACTCGGTAGCCGTTTGGGCCGAAGACACCGGGCAGTGCGCTTCAATCCAGGTCCATAGACGCAAAAAGTCCTGATGGAACATTCTGGATCCTTTGAGACTCACTGCTAGGTTGGCTTCCGGAGGTTGAAAAGCCTTCGGACTCCGCGCTCTTTACATGGCCCACCGTGTTCTCTGACCCTTCACCGACAGAGCGCAAGGCAAAGCTTCCTGAAGGCCAGCGGAAGAAAAGAAAGACAAAAAAGAGGTCGCGGCCTGGGAAAGGAGAAACGGGCGCCGTTTCCCGCCCGTGGGAAATTGCTTGAAGAAGTGTCTTGCATTGAGCAGAAAGCTCGCTGACTCAGGGAACCCAGAAATATGTTTTTCCTGATTGAGTAATGGGGGATTGCCCATTTTAGAGGGATCCTTCACTGTTTGAGGGAAACCACCCCCTAATAATCCTACCGGTTGATGACTTTGGGGTCGACATGTTTGTGCATTGCAAACATGCAATGCAAAATGGCTGCTAATTCCTTTCTGTACCAATGACATCACCCCACCAACAGGAAACTCACCTTGATTTCGAAATGATACAGGGAACGTTCAGAAAGGCAAGGTCCTTGCTCGGTCGTCCGCGCCCCTTGCAATGGCGCATGTCTTTTGCCGCTTCACCGTGGCGGTGCTTGCGAGATGGAGGCATAGTCATTGACGTACACCACTTCCTCAGAGACCCTCTCCTCGTCGCCGATACACTTCTCATAGGCCGGCCTAGATGCAAAAACAGCCCATATTCGGTTGTCTCCACTATAAGAAAAAAATAATAGTAATTAATAAATAAATAAATGAATAAATAAATAAATAAATACATAAAAATATTTAAAAAAAAAAAAAAAAAAAAAAAAAAACGTGACTTGCCCTTGGTGTGCTTTTACGCCACCCAAGAAAAGACACCACACATGGTATGTGAATCCCCTTTGCTCTCCTTTTTCAAGCCGGGGTGAGAACAAACACGCTAGAGTCAAGACGCAGGGCAAGCAAGCAACATAGCTGAAGAAGAGCATGGCTGGTCAAAACTATGGTAACCCCAAAATGGGTTGCCCTGCCAAACGGAACCAAAAACTAAAACCTGCGGTCCGGTTTCATTTTGACCCATACCCACATCCCTTCCAAAAGGCTCTCAAAGATCTCGGCTCAAGGAGCCGATCCGCTGGCCCGGTGCTTCGCACCGAGTAGAGCACGCAAAGGGTCTCACCCCTGGCGCGACAGGGGTTGTCAAAACAAGGGGCCCTGAAAAAAGGCGTCAAAAACAACACAGGTCTCCTGGCCTGAAGATTGACAATTCTAGGGAGCCCTGGAATTTGTGGGTGGTTTTCTATGGATGCCTGAAAAGAATTGGAAGCAATTCGGGAGCTGCGGCCAGCCTGAAACCGACCATCCGTTTCGCTGGGTTTGGCCCAGACCTTCGAAATCACGAAACATGGCGTGCACTGGCTCATTGGTTTCCATCAAGATTTGTCAAGCTGTGTTCAGCGCAGACTGAGACGAAACCATGAGCGTGGAGAATCACATTTGCCTCTGTGGTGGAAGTATCTGCGTGTGGATGCGCAGGTGCATCTGCCAGTCCGGCGACTTGTTTGAGCTTCGCTTAAGGCCAAATTCCTGCCAAAGTTTTGCCGTGTATCTTCCAAGAAGGCTCGGTCCTTTTGTTTCTCCCCCCCCCTCCACCTACAGAAGCATTCTTAAACACCCTGCAAGGTTAAACACACGTGTGCTCGAGGACAGTAGCCGGCCGGCACCTCAGTCTCTTCGCCCCGAGCACAGCGCCGAAGCTGGGAGGGTTCAGCGTACCAATGCATTGAGAGAAGACATAGTCCTGCCCCATTGGACACAATCCATTTGGCCACAACTCAAAATTAAAGAGGCAGGGTTACGCAGGTTTTAGTCTTTACCAAGGTGCCATTCTGGTACATGTATTTGAGCCACAGCCATTTGGCCATGGGTCAAACTCCCATTCTAACCATTTTTTTAGGTTCTAAAATGGGTGGTGAATTCACCTACCCCAAAATGGTACCATTGGTTTTGACCCACAGCCATTTCGCTTCATCCATCCCGACTGGCAAGATTCTGTCCATCAACAGCAGGTACTTCTTCCAAAGACGACATATAAGCATCCTGGTTTCCTTTTGAGATAAATCATGGCATAGGTCGTCAGCTTGAATGTCAACCCATTGGCGAAAATGATATTTAAGAGGCGAGGCAAAGCAACAACATTTGCTTGTCCAAAGGGCGCGGTGGTCTGCGGTAACAACAAGCTCCAGCTGGCACCATGATCATTGCTGGCGTACTCAACTTGCCGCTCACCCCCGAAATGCTTCTCAACAGGCAGAAGATGGCTGCGTTCACCTGAAACTCGGATTTTGAATTACTTCAACAAATGTGTGGCGTGGTTTGCCCAGAGGAAACCGTCAAGAGTGTTTCTGACAATTCGGGACGGTGGCGGGTTTGCCCTGCAGTGCCCTGCCAAACACAAAGGAAGGTTCGCTCTGAGGGAAACTGAAAAATAATGCAGGGCTGTCCAAAAATTGGCCGAAGAGCCCAAATGGGTCGGGGCTTTGCCAATGGATTGTGAAGCCTGGTTGGGAACCCCCCCCCAAAAAAAAGGACGGTTGGAAAGGAAAACTCGTAAAAAGAACTGGGAAAGAAAGCCCGGGTTTGGCACGTGGCCCTTTTCATCAGCCGAAAGTCAGCGACCTGGCTCGCCTTCGTTGGTCCTTCAGCAGCGCCTCTAACTTGGTCACATCCACGCCCTCAATCATCACACTCCCAAAGTCCATAGCGCATGGAGCACGAAATTCACGAAATGCCGCGTGCCAAGATTGGGGCTAACAACAAAGATGAGCTTCCCACCCAGCTTTCAGGCTTCCTTCCGAGCACCTCCATTTCACCGACTTTGAGACACGCCCAGGCCTATTGCCCAAGCTTTCTTCTGTCATTTAACGTGGCACAACAGCTATGCTGGAAAACACACCAACCCAGCCTTGACATCCCTGGCTGCATGCTGGCGAATTCAACCCGTATCAACTGTGCGCTTTGCTCTACAGGGATCCTTACATTATACACCTGAACATTGCCTCGTAAATGGTGGTTTCCCTGTATTTTGGTGTTGAAAAAGCCACATGTGTCAATTGGGCAGGCAAAATCGAGATCTTTTAAGGAGCCCTGCTCTACGATCCGTGATTCCTTTTCGGCCCCTATCCACCGTGCAAAACTGAGCGAAGCCCCAGGCTGTGGAGCCGGGTGATCAACCGAAACCCAGCCGTGACTCACGCGGCCAGCCGAACCCCGCGTTCCACCCCAGATAGGCTCTACTGTTTTGTTGTTGTTTTTTCCCAGGGCGACCGTGGTGTGCACACATCATTTTATGGGCGAACATGGTTCATGGACTCCAACTTCTTCAGGCGTCAAGGACCGCCTTTTGCCAACTTCCAAAAACCAAATGCGTCCTTCAGCGGATATTTTCGAGGAGCCCTGCATTCCCGTGACAGGGAGGCTTGCTGTAGGACTCTAGGCCAAGGACCTCCTCGAACTCGCCCTTGCTCACCTGGCATTCCAAGCCGCCCCATTGTCTCAAAATTTCGGGACTTACCCTTCCGCCCACTAACATAGCATTTGTGGGAGGGCACCCGGAAGATCATTTTCCTCTTGCAGGACCCCCGGTCACGTGCCATGTTAGCGGGGAGGGAGGGTACGTCTCGTGGAAACAAGAAAGGGGTTGCCCCAAAAAGGTCACGCCCATATCAGCCCTGGATCTAAGCAAAACAACTACAAACATGCATGATGAATCCGCGAGGTTCGTTCATTGGTCAACATGAGGAAAAAGTACTCTTGGCCCCAAGTCTTCAAGAGTTGAACCCATCTTGGATCACTTTGCAATCCCCAGGCTGCCAATCCTGGTCCCCCCCCCCCACCACCCCGACGGTCGCCTCCGTGGGTGCGGCAAGCTGCTCCGGCAGCTCCATAGCGCAGACTCCAATTTTTTACAAGACGAGTCTCCAAAAATTTGCGCACAACGCCGTAACGCGCAACCGTGCACATCTCTATCTCAAAATAGAAGCCCTTCAAATGGTGAGCACCGTTTTTGACAGCGGTGAGTCACCTTTGACAGCCTGATGAGGAACGGTCCCGAAATGCTCTTGAGAGAGATCAAAGGTCTTGCGTTGGCCCCCTTACGTGCGTGCCAAACGAAGCATCCTCACTCATCCAATCAACCCTACAAATCACGAGGCTCCACCTGAAGAGCCAATGCTGAAAATTGTTCTCTGTGTGCTTGGCGCCTCCGTCCAAACGCAAGCCATCATGCATTTTGTTGCGCCCTCGCAACCCTTCGAATGCAGCTACAGAGTAGCGCCTCGATAAAAACAACTGAGACCATCCTGAATGCCTGCAGCGACCCAAAGTCTGAGGCAACCATAGCTCAGATTCCTGCGAAGACTCACAGGTATTCAAAGCGAGCCGTGCGCGCGAAGTTCAGCACAGTGGGCGGTGTCTGCACCCTGGTTGAGAGCGCGCGTTGAGCACGCCTCGGAACGGCCATCTAGTGGAATCCAAGCGTCCGGGCCGTTTTGCCACGCGAAGGTACCCCATGCAGCATGACACGAAACCCACGGCTTGAAAGTCTGGAGAGGGCCACGGCCATCTGACACCGCGCAAGCGGATGCCCCGCCCACAGGCCGCCTCAATGGCAGCTTTGCCGTCGAGGAGAAGCACGTGACCGCGAGGCCGCAAAGGAGAGACAAGAAGAGCCAATCGCCTCAATTTCGGCCTTGTAGGCAGACTGACTTTTCACCAGAAATGCCAATGGCATGTTCGCGCGGAGTGCCAGCGCTCACCACAGCACAACCGGCCACATTTGACCAACCAAGCCATCTGTGGCAACCACCAGTTCGCCCTCCCCGCAAGGAGGCCTCATAGTCCTCTGCCAAGCAACGTCCAAGACGATGGAGGCTCAGGCAATTCAGGAACAATCTTGGCGAGCAATCCTTCCTCAACACGATTCCGGGGCCGGAGTTCACCATCCCGCAATCCATCTAGAGCATTATAGAGCATTACAGCCCCATGCCAAAAGAGGATATGGGAAGCGCCGTGCGTACACATTGCCCTCCTGACAGGTTTGGGGAAGGTGCAAAGAGAATCAGATGGTAAACCAGGAAGATCCAGCCGTTGATCCAGCCACAGGCCATCTTGTCGGTGCACAGATCTAGCCACCCTGGTGCAGCTGGCAAGCACCGCACGCCGTTGCCAATCACAAGGCATCTCATACAGGACCATGGCCATATGAGAGTCAAAATAGGGAACCCCCAAAGTGGATGTCCGTGTGTTTTTCCTCGAAAAACAGAAAAAACAAAAAAGGGGTTCCTCAAAACAAGCATATAACAAAGAGTCCAGTGTTTCTTTTCAAACAGGGGAGGGTTGTGTCTCAACTGTCATCGAAACACGCAATGCGGAAACGAGCCGGCTTTCTTACACGAATGCAATTGGCGGAGCGCCTTGATAAATGGCGGGATTGGCTGAATCTGCCGGATGCCTAAGAGCGGGGTCTCAAGCCGGTCGGACTCAGATTCTAAAGAGTTGCCAAGAAACTATACAAACTGCAGGGCGCACACACGGCGCAAAAGATGACAAGAGCAAGGCCGAGCTCAGCGCTGAGAAGCCTTCACCACATCCTTGAACTCCAAAAATGCCTTGTAGGCCGCCTTGGCATCCTCAGCGCTTACCTTGGACATCATGTAAGGGCCCACATCCTTGCCCAGGCTGAACTTGTTGAAGGCGTTGTACACGTCCATGGTCTTGGAAGCTGGCACGGACGCAATCATGTGGCCAATGGCGGCGTTGGTGGCCGTGTAGTCCGCAAGGGTGGTCACCCCTTTGCCGTCAATGCTCTTGATGGCCTTGCTGTGCGCCAACACTCCTGCCTTCAGAGCCTCCGGGTCCATCGCGGCCCCCATGACCAACATCTTGTCGATGGCCTTCAGCACCTCCAAGGGCTTGGCAGTGGGCAGAACGCCATAGACGCCATCGGTCCAGTCGATCTCCTGGATAGAACGTCTTTGGCTCAACCATTTTCTGCATTGATTTCGTCTGAAGGACAGCATAGGACAGCCATTCACAAGCAGCACGTTTGCCAGCGAAAGAAATCACTGCCAAGTCTCTCTACAACAACACAATAGAGTTCGAAGTGCAACGCATTGTGACATTGTGTAGTAAGTAACAAGCAGCAGGCAGCTTTCACCAAACAGCATACGTCAGACCAACACCTGGAAAGCTCAATCAACATCTTACCCAATAGTCCAGAATTGGGCTACCATCTACCATCTACTTGCAATATCTTCTGTCAGAACATTACCCGAACCCCAAACCCAGCAGAAACCTTCTTGCAAGCCATGATCATGCCCGGTGATCATACTCGGAAATCCTTCAAGAATGGGTAGGACTTCTCGGACAGGACTTTGGCCGCATCATCGATCTTGTCCGCGTAAGCAGGCGCTGTGCCCAGCATGGCCGCGGCGCCGGCCGCAGTGGCGATCGGCACATGCCGGCCAGCGGGGGGCGGCACGAAAGCGCCCTGCCAGCCGCAGTAGGCCGCCACACCCGCCACGACCGCGAGCATCTTGCTTGCCTTTGCCATTGCAGAAACGGTGAGGATCTTGGATCTTGCTCGTGAGGCTACCCTGCTCCAAAGCTGACATCCGGACAAGACCGGCACACACAAACACAAAGTCGTCCGCGAGGCACATCAATCCATGATTAATCCATACATTCCCCCAAACGATTGCTCAAACACCAACAACTGCGGTCTGAGCAGCTATCTGATCTCTGCCTCAAGGACAACAATAGGCGTGTGTTCTGCTTCCTTGTTCTTCGCATGTCAACAGAACATGAGTGCTAAACTCGAAAATGGAAATTGCCATCTTCACAGACGTGACCAAGCCCCCCACATTACCCTTCTCAGCGCAGATTCGGATGGTGAACACGTGCAAGACAATCTGAATCTGTTGATTTCCTTTCTGAAAAGGCTTTGGTGGACTTTGGCATTGCTAATTTGCAAAATACGCCAAAGTATTTGCACATAACACATTGACATCGAAACACGCGATGCGGAAACGAGCCGCCTGTTTTTTTACACGAGGGGGATTATTCCAATGCAATTGGCGGAGCGCCTTGATAAATGGCGAAATTGGCTGAATCTGCCGGATGCCTGAGAGCGGGGTCTCAAGCCGGTCGGACTCAGATTCTAAAGAGTTACCAAGAAACTATATAAACTGCAGGGCGCACACACGGCGCAAAAGATGCCAAGAGCAAGGCCGAGCTCAGCGCTGAGAAGCCTTCACCACATCCTTGAACTCCAAAAATGCCTTGTAGGCCGCCTTGGCATCCTCAGTGCTTACCTTGGACATCATGTAAGGGCCCACATCCTTGCCCAGGCTGAACTTGTTGAAGGCGTTGTACACGTCCATGGTCTTGGAAGCTGGCACGGACGCAATCATGTGGCCAATGGCGGCGTTGGTGGCCGTGTAGTCCGCAAGGCTGGTCACCCCTTTGCCGTCAATGCTCTTGATGGCCTTGCTGTGCGCCAACACTCCTGCCTTCAGAGCCTCCGGGTCCATCGCGGCCCCCATGACCAACATCTTGTCGATGGCCTTCAGCACCTCCAAGGGCTTGGCAGTGGGCAGAACGCCATAGACGCCATCGGTCCAGTCGATCTCCTGGATAGAACGTCTTTGGCTCAACCATTTTCTGCATTGATTTCGTCTGAAGGACAGCATAGGACAGCCATTCACAAGCAGCACGTTTGCCAGCGAAAGAAATCACTGCCAAGTCTCTCTACAACAACACAATAGAGTTCGAAGTGCAACGCATTGTGACATTGTGTAGTAAGTAACAAGCAGCAGGCAGCTTTCACCAAACAGCATACGTCAGACCAACACCTGGAAAGCTCAATCAACATCTTACCCAATAGTCCAGAATTGGGCTACCATCTACCATCTACTTGCAATATCTTCTGTCAGAACATTACCCGAACCCCAAACCCAGCAGAAACCTTCTTGCAAGCCATGATCATGCCCGGTGATCATACTCGGAAATCCTTCAAGAATGGGTAGGACTTCTCGGACAGGACTTTGGCCGCATCATCGATCTTGTCCGCGTAAGCAGGCGCTGTGCCCAGCATGGCCGCGGCGCCGGCCGCAGTGGCGATCGGCACATGCCGGCCAGCGGGGGGCGGCACGAAAGCGCCCTGCCAGCCGCAGTAGGCCGCCACACCCGCCACGACCGCGAGCATCTTGCTTGCCTTTGCCATTGCAGAAACGGTGAGGATCTTGGATCTTGCTCGTGAGGCTACCCTGCTCCAAAGCTGACATCCGGACAAGACCGGCACACACAAACACGGAGTCGTCCGCGAGGCACATCAATCCATGATTAATCCATACATTCCCCCAAACGATTGCTCAAACACCAACAACTGCAGTCTGAGCAGCTATCTGATCTCTGCCTCAAGGACAACAATAGGCGTGTGTTCTGTTTCCTTGTTCCTCGCATGTCAACAGAACATGAGTGCTAAACTCGAAATGGAAATTGCCATCTTCACAGAAGTGACCAAGCCACACATTACCCTTCTCAGCGCAGATTCGGATGGTGAATACGTGCAAGACAATCTGAATCTGTTGATTTCCTTTCTGGGAAGGCTTTGGTGGACTTTGGCATTGCTAATTTGCAAAATACACCAAAGTATTTGCACATAACACATTGACATCGAAACACGCGATGCGGAAACGAGCCGCCTGTTTTTTTACACGAGGGGGATTATTCCAATGCAATTGGCGGAGCGCCTTGATAAATGGCGAAATTGGCTGAATCTGCCGGATGCCTGAGAGCGGGGTCTCAAGCCGGTCGGACTCAGATTCTAAAGAGTTACCAAGAAACTATATAAACTGCAGGGCGCACACACGGCGCAAAAGATGCCAAGAGCAAGGCCGAGCTCAGCGCTGAGAAGCCTTCACCACATCCTTGAACTCCAAAAATGCCTTGTAAGCCGCCTTGGCATCCTCAGCGCTTACCTTGGACATCATGTAAGGGCCCACATCCTTGCCCAGGCTGAACTTGTTGAAGGCGTTGTACACGTCCATGGTCTTGGAAGCTGGCACGGACGCAATCATGTGGCCAATGGCGGCGTTGGTGGCCGTGTAGTCCGCAAGGGTGGTCACCCCTTTGCCGTCAATGCTCTTGATGGCCTTGCTGTGCGCCAACACTCCTGCCTTCAGAGCCTCCGGGTCCATCGCGGCCCCCATAACCAACATCTTGTCGATGGCCTTCAGCACCTCCAAGGGCTTGGCAGTGGGCAGAACGCCATAGACGCCATCGGTCCAGTCGATCTCCTGGATAGAACGTCTTTGGATCAACCATTTTCTGCATTGATCTTGTCTGAAGGACAGCCATTCACAAGCAGCCGTTTGCCAGCGAAAGAAATCACTGCCAAGTCTCTCTACAACAACACAATAGAGTTCGAAGTGCAACGCATTGTGACATTGTGTAGTAAGTAACAAGCAGCAGGCAGCTTTCACCAAACAGCATACGTCAGA